CAACAACATTGTCCGGCTGTTTCTTGTGTTGAATGATGAGTTTAGCGTGACATAATGGAGTCAAACAGTTACGATAAAATAAGTATACTTAGGCAAAACGGGCAAGCGTCCAGCTTTACTCCAAACAGTGACACGGCGTAACTACCATTTCCTTTCAAAGGTGGTGTGGTCAACTGTCAGCTTTGGACCATAGCAAACACACGTGAACCGATTCAGACTACCTACACTTTCAAAATAACGCAGAATATGACGAATCCACTGACCTAGGGTTTTCCACACCTTCCATGTTGGTCTGATTGTCTAACCACAAGTCAGCATTTGACGGTCGCGTCACAGCACCGATTCCTCAAATCCGGTATAGTACCTTCACAATCGGGTCCTCGGTCGAAGCAGTAACAATTCTGACAGGCCTACTGTCCGCTGGTGTGGTAATTCTTGGGAGAATCTCCCCAAATGTTATGAGTGAGACCGTGGCTACGCACCACAAATGAACTTTGGTGTGATTAAAAATCTAGCCTAGTGGTTCCTTCGCGATTAAGCTTAGCAAAGAATGAGGCAGACAAAATGAGCGTCTTATCGTCGAACTCTACGACTTCTCAAGCCAGTACTAGAGGCTGCCTTAAATCTGATAGGGAGAAGAGTATGGTACTTGTTTCGCCGTTTAGCTCACATCCAACACTTGAGAACCCGCACTGGCCTGCCGATAAATGCTGCTTTTAAAAAAATCGAGTGTCTCTCATGGTCTATCGCATTTCACGTCACCTTTTACGAAGGTAAAGCGTTCTAAGAGTCCAACGTTTCATATACCGTACTTAACTGCCTCCAAAGATTGTACAATAAAGGAGACACTATATACTGCATAGGTAGATGTTTATCTTACTTCTGTGACAAAAAATATTCAACCATCCTCATCCGCACTGCTCACCTCTGAGAACTCTCTTTTCTATCCTGTTAAGTTTACCCCGACCAGTTCGAACGCTTGTCGAGATGACCAGAAAACTCGGAAGAAAACACGCTCGATTTGATATGTTCAAACTATCAACGTGCGATGAATACGCTTGGTGCACGTTGGTTTATCGACCAATTATTACCCGTGTAATTACTTTCACCGAAGTCAAATTGGCATGCCAAGCCAATCACATGACAGTTCCAGTTTTCGGTCGACTGTCGTGTGCCAAAACTCGGATAGAAACATAAACAGTTTCGGTGTGAAGACGGTCTTAAAGTCGAAACCTAGATTCCATACTGAGACAATGTGATTGGACATGATCGATAGCTCTCCCGTAGATCGACTCTCGTTTGTTGATGATGGCCGCATGCTATCAATGCCCGACATTTTTTCGGGGGTGGGGTAATGCGCGTGGCGTCCGAACATTGTAGGTACCACACTAACGGCAGACACCGAGTATGAAATTGCCAGAATAAAAATGGAAGGGATATTCGCTAAAAAGGCATTTGGAACGAAAACGACGACTCACAAATTATGAGAGTTTGCCGACCTCATAGTTGGTCATTCTCAAATTTAGGTTGTAGCTAGCTCCTTCCTCCCAGACTGAAAGCGCTTTCCGGTTCAATTTATTAGTGGTGACCTTCGGTCGCATACGGTGACTTCGTGAAAATGAGCGGCGGCCTACCTAGGGTCAAACCACTTGTTTCGACTTCAAAAAAACATCAGAAACACTAAACCCAAACCTCGTTACACAGTGATTTGTTCGGCACTGTAGTAGACCCTCAATCACATTTGTGACAATACTGAATACTGAGGGCACGCCTTCAACCAGTCACGTGATTGCATTACTGCGAGGTCTTCGGTTATTATATATTCTGCTTTGTCAAGTCAGTCAAAGATTCGCCGCGTCGAGTCATCGTTGGGGTCTCAAACGAAGTTCAATGAGTTGTGCCTACAAAAGGCTGTAGGAAAAAGCTTAATATGCGGCTGGGAAGCACGGCCCCTCCCATATGAGAGTTCAAAATGCCTTCATATATTTTATCATTAATGTCCTCATAGCATAGTAATCACCACAAGACTTCAGGATATCAGTAATCAGTGTTGAATTACTGGCCGGATGGTCGCTGGTTCGAAACACTCTACGTTTCATGAGATGTTTTGATAATCCCCCCCCCAACAAGAAGGAAACACCTGCACATTGCTTCTCGGTTCCGGCTTCAGTGACTGCACGAAATCTCTATTAAAAGCAATCAGTTCATTCGTACGCGAGTGCTAGGTAATTGGATGGATTCCAAGGAGTAGCAGGTAAAAATTGTCAAATTAAGATGGTTGGGAGACATTCTATATGTAATTCACCATTGTTCACCAAGTAAAAGTGTGCTTCCCATCCAGACCTTTGTTAACAAAGGCTTCACGAAGGACAAGCTACCATGCGGCAATCAAGACGAAACCCGCTACTGTCAAGTTTGGCGTCTCGGGATCTTGCCTTTCTGGGTAGGATCCAAGTGTTTCCTCTTGCGAGTGGTTTGAAGCCCTACAGGATGTGACAAGTAACCGAATCCAGTGGCGTGCTTGCCGTACCTTCCTGGTTCAACGGCCTAGAACAGGTTTGTTTGTCATGAGCTGCCTCAGTCCCATCATGGCACCTTGTCCCAACATAACGCTCAGGTGTTTTTGAAGGGGTAGTTATCTTGTTCTTGACTGTATTCACTAGGGACATAGAGCATTTTGCATTTACCTCTGCCTGTTCTTTGTACTCTGCTAGGGCCTTCTTCATTCATGCACGTATGAAAGTCTCCAGTTTTGTATTGCTGTTCATAATGCCTTGCAACACCAATTATTTGCACAGTTCCGCCAAAAAAAACTACTAGTAAGTGGATGGTCATTGCACCGAGGGAACAAAGTAAACGATTCAAAACTCGTACCACGCAAAGGACGATGATTCCATAAGAGCCCACAAAGGTAAGCCCTCTTCGGAAGGAGCACTGTACTAAGAGGGACTGTACCAAGAATCATCCTGATCAATCTGCGTTTCCGGCCCTATGGAACCAATTAGTCAGGATGTGGACAATACAATGTATATAGTAATACCATCTGATAGGGACCAGATCAGGAGACCAGCACTATGAAAGCTCAATAATAAGTAGAACAGTTACGATTACAAAAACATGTCTAAAACAGTACGATCAAGAGAAAAAGGTTCCGCTCGTAGAAATCTCAAAAATAACCCCCTACGCAGTTTTCGTAACAAAAAAGTGAATTATGGGTAAGCTGAATTCTTTGGAATCTCATTTCACCTACTGGTTCAAATAAAATCCAACCGTTACCGAACGAGACACACTAGAACTGAATTTACTGCCTTTTCTCTAGAAACCTCGTCAATCCTGATCAAGTAGGAGATTACCTGACATAAATACGCACACCCTAGACAATCGTTACCTCAGAAACGTAAATCGTATAAGGTAGCGCCGACAAGTTCACGAAACAACTAGAAAACGGGGACTTCAAGCCAAAATCTGGGGTGGTTTGACCATGTATTGCGCAGAACCATCGTTCGCCGAAGAGCGGTTCTCCGTACCCTATTCACATCAACCGTTGAACTAATACATGGGTATGACAAATATTAAAAAAATCCCACGTATTGTCTGCGTGATCCCCTCTGTGTAAAGCTGGAGACGCTTCAAGGTATGTCTGCTAATCGATGTAAATGGTATCGTTGTTCAGTTTTTATCCAGGTTGTCTAAATGAGCGGGCAGCTCGGAATGATTGTTTTAGGCCAGAATTACTTTTATTCTTCCTTCCACACTGGGACTTCCAACTGAATTATGAATGTACGGTAGCGAAGCATCCGTGCTGTACACTGATAGTGTACTGTCGATTATGAAGCTCTGTAGTCGCACACCTAGATATTACCCTAAAAATACTCAGGCGATTGGTCATATAACGGCATGAAACGACAGTCCAAAAGCCGGACCGCATATGTGCGTCCAGCTTTTAAGCCGAACGAACCCGTAGTACGGGTACAACGGTACCCATATCAGGAGTGTCATTAGTCTTCCGATGGAATCGTTTTTATTTAGAAGCTGCACTTGGCACTGTGGTGACTTCAAATGCAGCCATCCAGCTCAGTACATTGTTCCCGCCTCTTCCATTTCAATAAACACCGCCAACGTGAACCAGGCCACCATTCAGTCATAATCGGCGGTTATCCAGGCAAAAAGCGTCTTGCAGTTCCAAAAAATCAACCGCAGGTCTCTCGACAAGGTTAGTTATTACAGTAATGGGGGGCGCGTTTTTATAGGAATGGTACCTAGGCTAGAAATGGAATTTAAAGAGAAAATAGGATTGTAAGCTGGCAAGATACACCCATTTGCAAACCAATTCGGTTTTAACGGAAGACTCGCCTGAATACCCACTGAGTCTCTCGTTTATGCTATTCTTCAACTGGGAGCGCTGCGCAAAGGCCGCCTCACGTTGCATTTGAGACATTGCAGTATAAGTCCTTCAAAAAAAATCCCCATAAGACTGCTGAATAATTTTCGGCAGCCCAAGACCGGTTTCATCCATCTTGCGGCTCACCAGCCGCAGTTTCCGTCAAACTTATGTTCTACATGAAGATCAAGTTGTGCGCACTTGCCAACACAGTCGGTTGCAGATTAAGTTGCTGTTAAAATATACCTCGATATCTCGATTGTTGTATCAACTGAAACATGAGACTGCAGTACATTCAGTCGAAGATAACCATCACAAACGAGATCCAGCTGGATTCAGTTGAGTCTCCCAACAAAACAAAACGGGTGGATCTAACGCGTCCAACTTGGTTTCAAGTAGAACATAAAGTTGACAGAAACTCGGGGACTGCGCCTACCTGACGAGTCCCAAGAAGAGTGAAACCAGTCGTGGGTTTCACTCTTCAACAACTTTGAGACTAGTATGTTTGGTCAAGATCGTAAGATGCCACAGTAAAAGTTGACTACAATCAGAAAATTTAAAATTTGCCACTAATTAGTCCGGGGGAAGATGGCTCAAGTGGTTAGAGCGCGAACTTACTGACCGGAAGGTCCGTGGTTCGAACCTGACCTTTGCCTCTCGACTTCCCCTGTCTGGGCTTGGGCAATCTGGCAGTATCCCAGGCCGCGTGATTCCTTCGGGTAGCGTGGTAGCTAGGCACCGGAAGGTTGTTACAGCTGAGAGATTTTTTAATACTAATTAATTCACACTGAGCCTATCTTGATGAGGAAAAGCTAACTGAGCAAACCCGGCTGTACTAATCATACCCAACCTGAGTCAAGAGTAGAGCATCCATTCCTAACGGTAGTTCCTACTAACAGAGTGTGACAAATTTGCGTACAAGGATCGCGATCGCAGTACACCATTGTCACATCGTAATCCGGTATATCTTGGCTATCTATGTGCGGCTGGACCTCAAATTTCTTACGGAATTACGAATACTGACCCATACGTATCTGAAGAGGGGCGGCACAGAGCGATCTGTAAATAGAAATTAAACTGATCAGTCGACGCATCCGTAATGAAACGGTTCTCAGACCTCCAATGGTGAATGTCACTTTTGGTGTTTTTTCATAGACCGACATTGAAACCTCAAATCAAGCAGTGGATATCAGATCAGACACAATCTTAGAGAAGTTGTATGAGGAACTATGTGGCCAAGGTAACGGGTGGTGAGTCAGAACTCACAATATGCTTCAGTCCAACACATTCCACTATTGTGTGGGGTGTGTACTATACGGCAAGTGACTAACCGCTTAAATTTTCTGTCGGAGCGTTACCAAACTCGACAGACACGAATCACACAGATGCAGCAGATTACCAAGGCAGGGAATTGTTGAAATAATTTGCACAAAATCAACATAGGCCTTGCTGAGATTGCCGAAATATGTTGATGGTTCGCGGTAAGAAGTGTATAGGACTGTAGGGATGGTTTGTCCTGAAAAGTCTCTCATAAGTTTGGTGAAAAAGTGGGTAAATATGAAGTAGCCTTGTTGGAAATTGTTTTGTCTCTTCTATGAGGATAACCGTATTGCGTCAGAAGTGGACACTGAGCAGCTTGTATGATTCTACTCAGCGGAAAGACGATTGATGAAAATCAATAGCTCCCTTGGAACCGAAATGCAATCATGAATAATCACGCTTGTGATGAAGAAATTTGCAGCAATGATTATAGAGCACCTGCAGTAAATGAAAAATAGGCGAAGTTAGCACTCAACTATTCAGGACTTCTTGGTTCACTACGACCAAAATGCACTGAAATACCATGTAATGAAGGAGCATGGACCATCAAACCTCCCAAAACCATAATTAAAGGTAAGACCGTCATTCAACGTTAGCACATTAATTCCCTCACCGGCATAAGCAGACAAATACTACGGTGACCCGTCCTGAGAGCGACAAACGAATCTTCTGCCTCTGAAGCCTCACAGCTGTCACGGAACGAGCAAGATCTCTGAATAAAACCTTTTTTCAATCTTGGCATCCGGGCAGTATGCTTCATATAGGGAAAGAAGTTCCAACTGTACTTGTCACCCGACGACCAGCTACTCTAGGAANGGCATCCGGGCAGTATGCTTCATAGAGGGAAAGAAGTTCCAACTGTACTTGTCACCCGACGACCAGCTACTCTAGGAAGATGTTGGGGACTCGGGCGCCATTGAACTATGCGACTGCTCCACCACACCTAGACAGTCTTTCTTATCACATCCTACTTGCTCATATAAATATTCCAGCACGGTTCTGCTTGAATAGGATTCACTTCTTTCAACAAGCAATGACAATCCAGCCCGGTATAAATCTAGATCCTCGCAATTAGTTTCAACTGGATGGCACTGGATGGATGGATTGACATAAGAAATTTGGCGCAGATAAGGTAACAGATTGCCCTGGCATAGACCGTATAATCTCTAGGCATCGATTTGTTGTCTACCGCGTGCTCAAGTACACTGATCGTGCTAAACCCCTCGAATATTGATGCTGTCAGAATAAGTTCACACTGGAATAGCTCTGAGTACGACAGCAGAACCCGGGTGACCGCAGTTAAGCACCGATGTTCACTAATGGCGTATTAATGTCGATGACGACCGCGATTAGGGATGTATGGCTGAATAGTGCATGTAACGTCTAGAAAACAGGGAAAAGACACCTCTTAGAACCAGCTGTATACGCCCAACCTAATAGTTGTGCGGCAGAGGTAGATTACTTTTATGGACGATTGTAGGGGCTTCTGAGGATGGGGAATAGGACTTACGTGGCATTAGCTGGATATGGTGAAGCTCGGGTTGGTAAACTTGATTGGGACAAAAGTTGTTTGCGCGATCGATATTTTAGACCGGCAATGAAACGATGATGACAGTGGAGTTTGAAATTCACAACAGTGTGTAGGCAATCATCTGTGTCTATCTGGCACCAATTCCAAAAGGCACATGCAAACGCGTCACTCTGTGCCCACCATGGTCTATCAGTTACCGATGGAGAGTCTCATGCTTGCAGACCAATCAAGTGACGCAGGTAAATTTGTTTATCTGGACAGTTCTAGTGGATTGGCTGAAGGCGCAATTACTTCTCAAATCTTTTGCCAACCTTCGATACCTATGGCACCGGTGTGACGTCAGTCTATTTGTCGAGGGCACACCGTACTCTGTTGCCCTGCAACCCAAACTGACTAAAGGTTGCCTCTACGCACACAGGACATACGAAAGCCGTCAGTACGGTGTGCCCTCGACAAACAGACTGACGTCACACCGGTGCCATAGGTATCGAAGGTTAGCAAAATATTTGAGAAGTAATTGCGCCTTCAGCCAATCCACTAGAACTGTCCAGATAAACAAATTTACCTGCGTCACTTGATTGGTCTGCAAGCATGAGACTCTCCATCGGTAACTGATAGCCACAGGATGCAACTGAGTCCATGACTGGCTTGCAGTTGGCGGCCTCCAGATAACTCGGTGTGAAGGCCTGTGCTGAATCTTCATACTAGACAAGAACAGACGACCTTCAATAAACAAGTAAAGTTGCTCGGTATTATTCGTGCGGTGGGTATCGACTCCCGCCTGCAATGCGCAGCTACCTCCCCCCCCCCCAAAAAAAAAAAACATCGGTGAACGAAACTGCGGCAGCTACAACTACTGTACGACGAGTACGCGGTTATTACAGCTGACAGTGATGATGATGGGTATCGACTCCAACCTAATCACCCAACTGCGCTTCTTCAGGAGCTTAGTCATCCAAGAGGATGACTATATCCGTTGTTCTTGCTGATCAAAGCAGTCTTGACAGATGTCACCGTTCTCAGATTCAGAACTGCAGTCTGCCAGGTGTGCTGCTACGACAAGTTTGCCGCATCGACCCGCATTGGTCGTAATGGGACCATACAACCGTACAGCGCAAAGACGACTGTTTACCGGGAAGCAATCTAGAAAGCGTTTTCAGTCCCGGGTATGAGTGCAACCCCCACAACTCAGATAGCCCCAGTCATTGCTTTAGGATCACTATATACCAGAAGAGTGGAATGTGAAACATTCGAGCACATCCAGAGCAAACTGAGGTGTACGACCGAAGTGGGGTACTCTATGCATGTTTCGGAAACAACACACGCAGAGATAAAAAGAAAGTAAGATTTCAGCAAGAGATACCTGTTGCTGAATTTGACAGAGTATGGACGTTGAAAGCAGCACTGTGGGGCAGATCCCTCGAGCTTAATGAGGGCTGAGTTTAATATATCCTACTGAGCAGAAGCTTAGATACGGAGAAAAAGTTACATAATTGAAAGCTAAATGAATCAGAAAGACTTGGGTGAGGGACATGCGGGGAAGAGTTAGTGAATGGACAGCAGTAAAGGTGAATGTTACTTCCCAGTTGCCCTCGCCAAAAGGAGTTTGTTTGAGATACCAAAGCTTGAGCCTTGGAATCAAAAGTCTGACCCACAAGATATTTGTGAATACGTTGTGACAGAACGTTCCGGATACCGATAACACCCATGGAGGAGGGTTGGCTCAGCAGACCGTAGGTAAAATATTTCGAAAGAAGTTCAAATGATTAAGGTTCATCGACAGAAGTACACCAGTAGTACACAGAGGTCCTTACCCGTCATACAACCGTGAGGGACAGTGTTCTAGTGAAAAGCACAAGGAGCAGTGTCTGTACCCTGGAACGGCAAATGAGCAAAATACCAAAGACACCATCACTGGAATCGCCCCAAGTCCACTACAAATTTCACCTAAAATGAGCCCAGCATATAACGGACAAACTTCAGCTAGGAAGTACGACTATGAAATTACAGTATGATAACCACTGAGATCTGCGGGGTGCGAACCACATGTAAGTAGAATCAGGTGAACCCCCAACCAGGAAGATCGGAAGATTCTATAGCACTCGATTCGGTAGAAACCACCTTTACTTAATGTTAGCAAGTCAGTAAGGTAGCGAACCATCAGTGTTGAACACTGACGTCATGCTGTGCATGATGACGAGCAAGTCAGTCTGCACCTTGCAAGCCTTCCGCTAACAACAGATCGGAGTACGAATCGGTGCCTTCTTTGTTACTTGGCATCTGGGCATGGGGTAGCTGACTCCCGCTACATTGCGAACGTATGGCGATGATCGAACGTTGGAATCCACTAACAGTCGCCAGATGAAAGAGGACATGTTTCACCGCCTTTTCGCGGCCTTTTTCGGCCAAGCATGAGTGTGCATTCGACCAATGCTTTGTTAGTTTCTCAGGCCAACATACTGGTCAGCACGATATTCGGCCGCAGGCCGATTAGATGTTCTTCATTCGCGACTCTGTTCATCCAATCGCACTTGAGGTCGAGAGCAATTTTTGGGCACAGTAGCAGTTACCGTCTATCTCTACCGAGCTGTAACGCTACCCCTCGGCGTCCTACACCATGAACGTACAAACAGCGACGTGGAATTGCGTGCCGTAACAGCATTCGGAAAAATACAAGTTAGCCTTCATCACTTTGATTCCGAAGCGCCCCAGACGTTGCCATAGAAGCGGTTCTACAGCAGTTGACTGAAAATCGTTGGCATTTTCCATACGGCTTTTTCGCCGAATTGGAATATAGCAAGCTTACATCTACTCAACTGTCCGTCGTTCGTCACTCAAATGCAGCAAGCTAGCTAGTTACGTTAATCACATAGTTATCATCGACGCCTTCTGACGCCGTCTGAAACAGCAGTCGCCCCGGGGATTTCGTCACCCAATCCTGTTGTTATTCGGTAGATAACATTCGGATAAAGATAACATTGCAGTGGACGCCCTATAAAGGGTTTCCTCAACGCCCACAATCAAACCGGTGGTTCATCTCAACGCCGTTGCCACCGCACACGCGGACATTCGGCTCCGTTCATTTTGCCCCCTGCAGACACTTAAACCCGTCGATATGCCTTTGCTAACGTCGTTGAGTCGCGTTGACCAGCTGTTCCAACAGCACCTTGCCACCTCGTCTTCGACGAGCAGCATAAAATCGCCCATCCTGACATCCACGCTACCACCAAGCTCGTCTCCGACACGTGTGTCGGGCCTGGTGTGCAAAAAGATCAGAACTGCCGGCAAGCGAAAGTGCGACGTCACATCAAGGCCCCAGGTGCCCATTTTCCGATTAATTTCTTAATCTTGACAGCTCGGATTCTATGTCGTAATCTGAAAAAAGTGTGCACCTGACATGGTTGACCCGTTCGCCCATTGATCCAACGCAATCTCACTTACTGGCGTTAGCGTCGAAGCTGTCAGACATTCGCCGAAAACTGGGCTGCCCCACGAGGTTGCCCAACGACCGTTATTACGGTTTGCAGGCCAAAATCTACGAGCGGTTGTTTCGTGGATATATTGCGAACACCAGGGTGCTAACACGCTATCAGCACCGCTCATTGGTTAGGGCGCGAATCTACTGACCAGAAGGTCCGCAGTTCGAACCCAACATCTATATCTCGACTTCTATCTAGGGTTGGGCAACCTGGCAGTATCCCAGTGCTCGTGCTTCCTTCGGGTGGTATGGCAGCTAGACACCGAAAGGGTGCCACAGTTGAACGATTATCTTTATTTTGCCACCCACAGAACAGGACGTTACGCCACGGTGGGTCGCCAAGTCGGGGCCGCATTGGGTACTGTGGACAAGGAACATTCTGTAGAAGACCTGCCTTTGGTCCGAATTGGCACCCACGTATTGCTCAAAACTGATATACAATCGTCAAGCACTGAACTTCTATTCTAAGGATCTCTCCGTTTACTCGGTGACTACCTTTCGAACGCCAGTGATGCAATGACGTATGATACGCCAAGCATCCGTACGATACGCCAAGCGTCTCTCCGTGCCAGCAGACACGGAGGCTTTCTCCACAACCGAGTTGCACCTATTCTCAAGTTTTCATTCAGACTGATGAGGCGCGTCGACTAGCTGAGACATTTCGAAGGTCTCTGTTCCATTCTACAAAGCAGAGACCACGTTTACAGCATCGTGCGCCACCCAAAAGTCACCTTCATCGATCCGACAAACACCGAAGAGACCACACTCTGGATCGCATGATTACTGCCAACACAAACATCTCCGAGCGTGAGATCATGGTTAATATACAGCCGCCTCCCTTAACCCCTTGTATTCCCAAACTCTCCACAAAACCTGATCGGGTCAACGATTGCATGGGGCAGAGCGTCTCACAGAAGGTTCGTGAACATTACTACCATTCCGGTAACGGACTCAATTAAGTGTTTTGAAAGATTTAAAAAAATTAAAATCACAACGTAAAAACGCCCTCGAAACCACAAGAAGGCTGCGTAACTAGCTGTGGCATCAACTTAGATAACATATCCATTGAGTTGCGTTGCTCGTTTTCGCGTGTTCTGACGTTGACAGTACTCAGCTGAGCACAAAGCCTGCGGTCCATTTCCCGGGAGTCTAATAATGCGAACCTCCTCAAGGAGCCACGACTAAGGTATATGGATCATACCAGCCGAAGCCGAGCCCCTTCTGAATGTACCCACCCCCGCGGTTTCCTCCGCACCAAGTATTTTGAACCCTAGCAGTTTTTCTTTTCAGGCCGTTTTTTCACCGGGTTGGACCACTAAGGTCAGCATGCACTTCTTCGGCCTCATCTGTAGACTTTCGCTGTTGCAGGTAGCTATGGGTTTCCTAGAGCCGTTCGTCACAGATGGTCGGTGCCGGTATGTCCTCGATTAGACCGAAAGTATTGAACTGCACACCCTTTATACGAAGAGATGCGTAGCGGTTCTGGAGATATTTCCCGCGACAGCAAACATATGTTGCGTAAATCCATCACCAACTATACTGGTCTCCTGCACATAAAAAGTGCAATGGGACGCTCGCGTGTTCCAAAGGCTTTGAACGCTGGTTGTCTGAAACAGACCGACCTGCCTTCGAGCGGACCCTGAAATTCAGCTACTGACACGTACCGCACAGGAACGTCCCACTAGTTAACACAGTATGGTGCCAGTCAACGTAGGTTTTATATACGCATAATATACGCTGTTTTGCTTCTCATCCGACTTTTTGCTTTCAAATTCAAGTTATTCAAATGAGGATACTATTAGTTTGTCACCATAACGCCGAAGTTCGGTCATTCTGCCCCTTGATGTACGGCGGTTACGTGCCAGAAAGGTACAACCGCCGAAAGACGTGATGACTGGGGGGAACAAAATGTCAGAAAATTTGCCAGGTTTGCCAGGAATACCTCGAAAGAACACCAAATGAGAATCAGTTCAACGGAATTTATGCGCGAACAGAGAATACCATGGTAGTAAAACAGCGTTCATATTTACATGAGTCTACGGTCCGCGATGCAAGTATGAAATGTGAAAAGCGATGCACTGGTGACTCAACGGAATTAGGGGTCAGAAATTAATCCGAAAGGGAAGCGATGTACATGGTGAAAATAAGGGAGGAAACAAAACATGAGACTAGGATAAACGGCTCCCAACAAACGCGGTCATGACGTGAGTCGATGTCTGGCAGCCAAACACCGTTACATGAAATTATGATCACAAATCAAAGCATATAGAATTTAGAAAAATACTTTACCTTGTGAAGGAAAGGAGGACCTGACATTCTCAAAGAAAACTCACAGCTATGATCCCAAAAAGTCTTTCACCAAAGCATAATCGCCAACTTCATCATATAAGCATAGCTTTAACAATCTTAATGAGACCGTGGAACACTGCAGCTGAACAGCTGATACTCGAGCAGTTCGACAGTTAACAGCAGGAAGAGGAAGGTGTTTTCTCAACTGGTTCTGCAAGGCGACTTCCTAGTGACATCGCTGTATTTTCGGGCTCGCGAGGAGACTTCCGTAAAATAGCAAGGGTCAACGTTTCAAACGCTTTGTCCACATTTTGCCCTGTCTTTGCGCTTGTCTCCAGGAGGCTGACCTGCGGTAGCAATGAATTACGGGCTGTTTACGCTTACCCCATATTCGTTACACATACGAGAAGCCTCGTCCGTTGAAACGACTCTCCGATCATCCATATCGCATTTGTTTGCAACAACGAGCTTTTCGACGTCGTGCGATGCAAGCGATTGAATATTGCCCATCCATCGACTGATATTATCAAATGTCCTCCGGCTTGTGATATCATAAACCAACATAATACCCATAGCGCCTCTATAATACGAGGCCGTTATTGTTTGAAAGCGTTCTTGGCCGGCAGTATCCCATATCTGGTAGGGGTATGAGATAAGTCACAGCGCTACCTGAAGTTTGATTTTCTTCCCCTCTAATTCTATGGTTTTGATTTTGAAATCTATTCCAATTGTAGATATAAAAGATGAAGAGAATGTATCCTCCACATAACGAAACAAAAGACATGTCTTGCCCACGCCAGAATCACCTATTAACAACAGTTTGAAGAGCGCGTCATAATTCTTCTTGGCCATGTAGAGCGAAAAACCCAACGGCTACTCTGCGTTCGGCCCAACTGAACAGACCGCAGGATTCCGGGAGGACTGATCGCTCATTGGTCGAATGGTCAAAGTCAAAACTGACCAGCAGCTTCAGCCAAAAAGAGCAGCCCACTCAAACACAACATTTGCAGTGGACTGCAAGGACCGTTCAGCTTCCGCCTTCAGAATCCCCTGGTTAAACACTGAGCTGCACGAAAATGTCAACACTTTAATTCTGAAGCAGTCAGAGCATGGTAGAAAAGTTTAAAAGAACTGGCTCGGTGAGTTCAGATACTAATGCTAAACCTGGCGGAGTCGTTGGACAGAACGTTCCTACTCAGCCCTTATAATCAGTCTTCGTACACCAAGGATGAGTAGAATCCAGCAAAGAAATTATACCATACTGTAGTATGAAAATGTTAATTTTGTCTACATCTAATTAACTGTAAGGTCTGAATTGTTGACACCGACATGGTCGAAAAAATTTTATGGACTGAATGGTACCAAAAATTGCCAGTTAGTTTCTACCAAACTTGGCCATGATTGTTTTTCCCGATCGACGACGCGGAAGCGTCCGGTTAATTTGACCAATCAAAAGACTGTTCATGCCATCATTAGGCAACCGAACCAACAACGCTAGAGATTGATTCGCGCGGTTTTGGTGTACTTCAGGACAATTTGAGATTCTGACGTTCAATAATCTGGTTGCTGATCGGCATCTGGAGTGTAAAATTAATTCTCGGGAACTATGACGTTTCTAACGTTCTCGCTCAATAGGTTTATGATTATTGTCTTGGTTTGAGTGAGCCAGCCACTATTTTAAGGTCGATGGACACCTCAAATTAGAAAAGCGGGCAACGGAATGCAATATTTCCAGCGTGCCGTATAATACTATTCGGCTAGAATGGATGAACCTTGCCAGAGTTCGGCGGAAGTAATAATTCGTGGGAGTTGATACAGCCTAAAATATACATGTTGAGAAAAAATATGCGGGGAGGTAGCCCCAGAATAAAAATTTGCATACGGCACCCTCAGCCCAAGGAGACGGATGCCTGTGACCTGATACATTGATAAGCTTGGCTGAGAGTTGTCATAATGGGAACACTAATAGTCCTTACGAGTTTTTGAGAACGCGAGGTCTTTACACTTCGCACCATCCCATCAAATTTGCGAGAAACGCAAATTTTACCATAGATTATATGACTTCTACCCGTTGATTGAGTTCATTCAGGGGGATCTCAAGCCTTCCGTTTAAAGTGCTCGGCTGGCTAGGTGTTGCTTGTGATACAGGGCCGAAGGAACCCCACAGACATGCAAGACTAACGTGCAGTCTGCGGTCCACGAGGCCCAGCTAACTTGGAGGATGCAACTACGTCCCTCATACCGAACAGTGAACGAACCTCGCTCATATGCACTACAACCAAGTGCCGTCTGCTTCCATTAGGAAGAGTCAGTCGCCCAGCTGGAACAAGATATTGCTAGATTTTTGGGCCCTCTTAGGGTCAGGTATGTTCCGGCAGGAAATTCCTATGGTTTCGCTGGCCCGCAGTGCACAGTAAGCCATTGGCGCCCTGAAATATCACTGGAGATATGCCAGTGGCGACAAAAAGATTCTACGGCCCGCTTCATGAAGCGCTCATTTTAGAGCCGGAACCACGTAGGGCCGCGCTGGAACGATGTCATTCTCAAGTAATGATTCAAACTGAGTCGTATTTTGCTCTCAACCAACCCGCATACAAAGCCTCCGGAAGTATGAAACTTTCAAGGAATTCTCCTACACCCACTGTTTCATTCGTGTAAAGGTAAAGCCTGTTACTTGGTTGTCAAGTGGTCTTCTTCTTTGCAAAAGTTGTTGAGAACGTAGGGATATAGTATCTGAACAGCTTCAAACAACAAATTTTTATTGTGCGCTTGAAACCTGCGTAGACATTCATTTTGGAGCGTTGCTCTGGGACCCGAAAGGACTTCCCACACTGCTGTAGCAAAAGCGAGACTAAATTTCAAGTAATAACCTGGTCACATCAAGAAGTGTCACGTACTCCATCAACACTAGGGCATGAATTACTCAAAGGCAATAGCTGCCATCTGTTTGGCTTCCATTCGCCAGTCTTCCCGATATGAAACAGCATTCCAGAAAGCGCAGCCTGCACCAATGTGAGCACACAAACCAAATGTACACGTCAGTTCGCCAGAGAAGGTCGAGCAGTAGCATTCATTTGTGTAATTCACATGAAGCTGACGTCATCCTTCACCCCAAAGAGGGCCAAAAAGACCAACCATAAAATTTTTGTCCTGAAACCACCAACCGCAATCTCCGATATCCCATCAAGATGGTGAATCGGGGACGTTGGGTGTCGGTGACGAAAGGTTTTATCCCACGCAGCCCACTGATTAAAGACATTTGTAGTTTTCATGTTTCCAACAGCGTTGTTTTGTCTGTCACAGGGTTGACTTGCTTCCTCAGCCCATCCGAGTGTGCTGGTAGCGGCTTGGAAATCCGTGAAGGAGGAATTTCTTGTCTCGGTAACTTATATTTCGATTGCCAACGTTGGTCGGTTGGAAAACCGCCTGATGTCTGTTGCTGCTCGAAAACGGCTGGCTCCTAAATGCCGAAGGCTATTGAATAAAAAGGAGTCTCACTTCCTGGTAGTAGGGTGTGTGCATTTCCCACAACATATGTCATCCATCTTGGAGCACTCGGTGGCTTGCATCAGAATCTGTAAGAGTCAACACAGACTTATCTCAACTTATTGGTTTCAAAACACAACAACGCTGCAACCTCAGGCATCCTGGACTTGGGTGGGCCAAAATGATGGAAGATGTATAAATACAGATTTGGTATACTGTGTCTAAAACAGCCGTCACCCTCCAGGATCCCCCTAGCGAGACATGTGTCAATATAGATCTGGGTTCGAACAAAACGTATCAAGAGGATAGAAAAAGAAAACTGTCCCTCTAAGGTCAGCTGGCTTGCATCCGATGCCTCATGTGGTGCCCGACATCAGAAGCAGTATGAGCTGATGAGGTAACTTGAAGTCTAATTGATCGGACGCTTGCTGTTCCAATACTCATACTTGTATATATTTGCGGTCCCAGAAGTTGAGACGACTTGACAATTTACTTCCAAGACCACTCGCCCGCCTCATGTACGGTGGAATCTGCAGCTTACAAGCTGTCAATGTGAAATTAACAGTTTGTTGTTTTGTACATTTTATACACTTAGAGCACTGAAAAATATTGCTTTTATGGCACTAAGCGGTGCTACAGACCATTTTTCCTACCTCCACTATCGCAACTGCCGACACTGCATCTGATGCGGCTCATAATTGGGGGCAAGTAGTCCAGTGATTTTGGCGTATCTATCAGGAGTTTTACGTTGGCGCGTTCAAAACGGTTCCGTATCGAATCCAGTGGGCGGTTGTTCGGTACAAACCCTACATTCGTTAGACGGCTTACTATTATTATCATCAGTGGCACCCACTGCTCTTTGCGCACAATGATATCATCAGAATCAAAGAACCTCATGGATGACGGGTGACTTCAAGGTAAGTGCAGCCTATTTGTGAAAAGGGCGGTTGCGTGTCAACGCCAACATTATTCGCATTTTCTTGGCATTTACACTTCTCAAGCTTTCCGTATTATTCGAAAGCGTTTGATTGCATGAGCCACCAGTTAGTGTTGAGACAAATCTATGGATAAGATCTCAAGAAATCTGCTACCGAATTAAAAGATTTGTAAGGCGAATAAATGAGTTCGGCGTAAAAACGCTCGCCAGTACTCGGTGCATGAGTTCACGTTTGTCCCACAACGATTCCCACATGGGTGAAAATACTAACGCTTACTAACAGGAAGGGGCACTTGCAATTTACTTTAGGCTTGAATATTTGGATGGCCTCGTTTTGGGTACTATCTATACACATAGAGTTGTTTGGAAGGTAACCCTTACTTTAGAACCGAATGGACGATACTGAGAAAATGGCGCACACCAACTGTTGAGTTTTTGTGTCTTTGCATTCAACTTTTTTCAGCTGCTTAGCGTGTCTCCAGATTTCAATCTCTGTGTGAAGTTATGATAACTGCGTTGTAATCAGCAAACGATGCCCTGCGCAGTAGTGCGCGTAGCTGAAGGCTCGTACTTAACTTAACTTTGCAAACCCGTTTCGGCCGCTGCAAATGTCTGTAATCCGCGAGATATATTTTTAAAGACTAACTGTTTTTTGTTATAGTGAAGCACTTTAAAACCCTATTCGAAAGACGACTGTGCATTGGTGCAGGTGGCTACAAACTGATTTTTTCATAAATATCAATGCTCCCTTGAAGCGATGGGTGTTTTACGATGCTTTGCAGCTTTCTCCCCCGTTTTCAATTTACCTTTCCTGCTAACCTGTTTGTTCTCTTGTCTCTGCCTCCAAAATAATCATTTGGAAAGTTTAGGCAGCCTACGGGTAACATGATCAGCACGCTTAAAGCGGGGCCCTCGTAAATGGGGACATGTTTGCCGTGGCTACGTCACCTGAAATGTAGCCTTAAGGTAGTCCATGAGATAAGAAAAACAGTGTTTTCAATCGCAAGATTTTAAGAAGCCCAAGAAGACTGGTCTGCAAAATATGGTAACGTCACGAGCCAAATTTGTTACATACCACGGAGCCATGCGTGAAACGTAATCACAAAAGAATACAGCCAACACTACTACAGTTTGAGTCATCAGTGATCTACCGCCGTGTAGCAATGGTTCCTTATTTTAACTAGTTTTGCTGCGACGAAACCTTATTCCCTTACAAAGGGGATTCCGCTGTGATATTCTGTGAGTCGAAAAACCGAGAGGCACTGAGTGATCCTTTTTACTGGGAATCTGTCAGCGGATTTTTCCCTGAAAATACATCCACCAATGCGGCATGCACCGCTTCATTAGTCTTCGCTAGTCGGAAGTTACAGCAAACGATCTGTATAAAGTGAATAAGTACATAGCAAATATTTTATCCTGGGTTCAACCTCTAGACTATTATACTGAGACCCAAATGGCGGAATCAGCCTGCCACGGAAAATTACTGTGGTCGTGGACGGTGTTGCCTCCAACACAATGTCAGTACGAGCGTCGCTAGGTAACAGGGTTGTCAGCAGCTTGAGAGCAAGGATCCAAATGAGCTGACCGCAAGTGACCCAAAAATTAAGTGTTTCCTTAAGGTAGGGGCTTCAATGGCAGGATTGCGAAAGAGACTACCGAAAAACAAACGTGTGCTGAAAGTGTTGGTTGCAAGGCCACATCTGTGTTCACTGTTTACTGTGGTTCAAAAAACGGTGGAACACCTGCAACTCAAAGAGCAACCAGACCAATTGTTTTAAACAGCTTATTAAGGTATTTGATATGCGCTTTCGTCTCATCCAATGCTAAGTTTAAACGGGCCCTTCGTTTGGCGGAATACAACACCCAACTCTTCGAGAACACCAACGCCTGCTCCCTAAACGGTGATCTCCTACAATCACCAAACCGATCAGAACGAAAATCTAAGATAATGGTAAAATAAAAACCACGTCGTTTTGCTGCAAAGTGCAAAAAATAGGAAGACTACATTCAAACAATCTTAGGAACCGAACAGAACCAGTAGTTTTAAGAAACAAAACTACGTAACATGTCTCAATCCCAAATTCACCGCTGTACTATTAACTGGCATAACTGTTGTATTCGCAGCAAGTCCTATTTGGTGTCTGCTTGTTGTTTGCTTACGCAGGTTGATTGAACATTTTAACCGGCCTTAATTTCCTTCTACACACTTAAATATCTGGTAGGTGTACTTGCCTGCTGATGCACAACCGTAGTTGTGTCCGACCGTTGGTTCACCAAATCACGAATCCGACAGCACTGAAAACGAAAGCTTAGTGAGGTAGCCTGGTGCTCTTCATAGAGCGAGTTACTTTGTTGCTTTGTAACATAGAGCCTTTGTGCCCCCTCTTCAACGCTTCATAAGAGCAGATGCCTTACAAATCACCAAAGCTTTCCCTCAATTCGTAGGGTTTATAAAAGCGCGGGACTTTTATTTGTCTTAAGCTAGCGGTTCAAGCCTACCCTGATCGTTATTACCCCATCGACCACTAGGGGCGGCTCAGGGGAGACTTGAAGAATTTACGGTTTCTTTATTATCCGGCCTCTACCGCAAAGCTCTGGCTAATAATTCCTATATATGGTTGCTCCAGGTCAACTTTACCCAATCTTTTCAGCATAAAAAGAATGGGATTCCCCACAATGGTTCTAGCGAATGGCTACTACTGTCCGCACATGGATAAAGGGAGATGAATAGCCTTCCACTTCTCTCTACGCTTCCCATACCGATGCCCACCAGCCCTCATTTAACCAAGCATTACCGGTGGTTTCGGACAGACAGCAGTGATTCGGCGGAACGCCGAGACCCCCCAGCTAAACTGTCATTCTCTCCATCATAATGTGAAAATGCCACACTTCATGTAGCACCATCAAGCCGTTCTAGGTTCTCTGCCCACCATCACTAAAATCGGCTACCAAAAACAGCGTTTTTTACTAGACTATCCACAACCCAGAGTATGGAGGTGCAACGGTGGCATCGTACGTGTTTGCCGTCTAACGGTTCACCACTATTAATCCACCGATTCTCCGCCTGCGTTCTTGCACGATTCCTTCCAATCTGCATTCCGGCGTTCATGCCAATGGCCAGGGAAGGCAAGAAACTTCAGTGGAGAATATCTAAAAAATAACCGCCCATATGCATTGGAACTGGCTAAGGCAGTGCCGCGTTAGTATTCCCCCACCATTCTTCGGCCTCTGGAAAGCACAGCGGCAGACGTTTGCGGTGACTGGGTAAAGTGCGTTTTGCGCCTCTGTAGTTTACGGTCATGAAGTGGGTCAACACGGAACAATTTAGCTGCTGTAGAACTGCAGGCGTTTTTAGTTTAGTACCAGGGTTGCATAAATAACCAAGGGAAACCAGGAAACCAAGCCGTGATGTAGGATTGATGGCAACAAAATGGTTGGAGCAATTACAGCCAGGATGGAGAGAAATCGTGTCACGGAAGTAGAGTCTGCCGAATAAAGTGGACTACGAACTGTTTTTCCTGCCGTTGTCTCAAAATTCAAACGCATCATCGAGGCCAAGGCCTCTAGTTGTCCAACATCCTTACATCACAGTCGACATCCCTGTACTTCGTCACTCGACCTTCGACAGTTCAAACTGGCCACTCAAATTGCGACCACTTCAAAAACATAACAAATAAACACAAACTAACGTTTAAGCCAAAAATCACCTCAACCGACACCGTGAAAATAGATGGAGGCTAGAAAATAGCAGGACATTCCATTTACCGTGAAAGTTATTGCGATAAACAATAAAGAGACAGTTAAAGTATCTAGTCCCCTAATTACCCAAGCAGAGGGCTCATCATGGAGTTGTTACCTATTTCACTCGATAAAGCAGGTCCACAATCTCCCGACTAAGCACGCTGCACTCCGTAAGGTACAGGATGTCCTTGCTCTCTTCCACCCACATCTACCTCGAAGTATTGCTGCAAACAGCGGCGCAAATAGAGCGCTGGTATGTAATGATGAAAACTCTCGAGTTTGGGCTGAGTCTCATGATGTAACTCCGGCAATCGGCCGTCTGTAAGAACCGCGTACTTGTCGTCACAATTCCCCTCACCGATGATTTTGGGAGACGGGATAAGTAACTGCGCAATGGATGTGGCAGTTGATAAATTAGTGCGGTAATACAGGTTTGTCAGTAGACTTTTAAGGTGGAAGGGTTCGGAATGCAGCAATGCATTAGATGCAATGGCTTGGATGCACAAATGCTACTGGAGGCCATGTCCGGGAATGTCTCCAGTCATTGATGTCGTCCGTCTCGGGGTCCCCATCCAGGAAGACGACAATGGTCAGCGCAGCCGAGTTTACCGGTAATCGCCTTCATATATAGCTTCTAAGTCGTTTTTTGGCTTCCCTTCTCGTGGTTCTGCAAAAAGCATCATTCGAAGCATTCAATGCACCGGCATACTGAGCACGGATCTCGGGGTCCCAGGAAGACGACAATGGTCAGCGCAGCCGAGTTTACCGGTAATCGCCTTCATATATAGCTTCTAAGTCGTTTTTTGGCTTCCCTTCTCGTGGTTCTGCAAAAAGCATCATTCGAAGCATTCAATGCACCGGCATACTGAGCACGGATTGATACACACGATCGAATGTTTCGACCAAGTTTCTCAGGTAGATTTTGTTCCTGTATATTATCGGCTACCGGTGAACTGAGTGGCACAAGCGGAAAAAGGGCTTAGCAGTGCTCTTTGAGTTCCCAGTGCGAGGCGGTGGGTTTCCCAGGCCAAGGACTCACATAAAAATGCGTCCAATAATTTTTTTAAATTAGTACTAGATGAGCTGCACAGCCATCAGAAGAAGGTTATTCCACGCAACAACCACCCAAAATGAAATTTTTTGCCCATTAAAACTGTGCGCCTGGAGCTTGAAAATCCCCTTTCCATGTCCTTGCCGTGCGTTCGACGTTTCAACGATGAAAAACATGGAGGCAAAACCTTGTTTGAACGGGGCATAAGTAAGAATTGGGCCTCCTCGTAGGTGATGATTCTCCGGGGAAAGATGGAAAGCACCACAAGACAATTCATGGTCCACAGGTTTTACATCAGCAACCATTTTTGTAGCAGCTCGCTGAGCATGCTGAATGAAGTTCGCGTCCTTGCGTCCTGAGCAGAAAACTTGGTTGACACACTTAATGGTGGGTACTACGTGGGGCCCGTAGTGTAATTCGAAGTCCATTCTAGTGATGCGAGAGAAGGTGCACTTACTCATCCATAGAACGGTGAATGCCCTTTGGGCCGATTTCTCATGGTGCAGTCCAAATGACACGTTTGAAGCGAGCGTTTAAAAGAGCGCCTGGATAGTTGTTGAAGTAGATAAGATGCAGCGATGGTCCCAAAACGGAGCCTTGAGGAACTCCCATGGAGAACTTTCCCAAGGAAGAGCATCACGGATTCACGGATTGATACACAGGATCGAGGCTTTTGCCCAAGTTTCCCGGGTCGGTTTTGTTCTTGTCGGTCAGTGGCTGTCGTTCACCTGAAAGGCACAAATGAAAAAAGGGTGTAACACTGCTCTTTATGTTCTCAGCGCGGGGCAGTATGCTCGCCAGCGCGAGGAGTCGCATAAATAAATTTCTAATAGTGCTTTGAACTTGTTCATAGAAGGAGCGTGGACAATCGTTGGAGGAAGGTCATTCCACGCAGCTACTACCCAAAATGAGAAGAAATTTTGTCTATTGAATGTGTGCTCTGAGCTTGAAATTTTTTTACTATGTCCCCGCCGTGTGTTCGCTGGGTCAACGATGAAGAACCTGTTTGCAAAACTTTGTTCAAACAGAGTATGAGCAAGAATTAGGACGAGCTCACTTTCACTCGAAATGATTTTCCGATAAGAACGCCATAATCCCGCGTAGAATCTCCCTTGTGTCCCGTAATACCTCAGTTTTTGGAGCGGTGGGACTTGTGAGGCTCCGTCGAATGTTTTCGAGAAGTCAAAGAATATGGCATTCGATATAGGTCCTCCATCCTTAGCTTGGGTAAACCTGTCCGTATGATGTTAATGATAATATTTACTTCCCAGGTTATGGGTGGCACGTCGTCAGGTATGATGATGTTACAGTCGGAATGAAAGCATGACCGGCAGGAATTTCGGACACAGGGTGTTACAAAAATGGACAGCATCAATTGGGGTAGGTATTATACGAAGTAGGCATGATCACCGCTAAACTGGCCGGGCAGGGAAGTACAGTTACCATGCATCATTGAAGGGAGTATCGAGCACGTTCAGATCGTTAGGATTTGAAGGTTTTGGACACAAAACAACAGCGGGGGAGGGCTAAAAAGAGGCCTCCTCTCTGATACATGACAAGAGAAGTTTAACGGTGAAAAGTGGGTGACCTGAACCCTGGACCAGTTAAAGCAGCAGAGTTGGCGTCATCCAGCCGGTCAGGTTGAACTAAAACCTGAAACTACCGTTAAGCCTCATGGCCTTGGGCTCTTGGACCCATTGCTAGGGTCACAAAAATTATAAGTGCTGATGACGAGGTTGAGAGCAGATAGTCTTTAACGGGAATCAGAGAAACATGGTGCTCCGCGAAACTGCAGAGACTCATTGGTGTCGCCGTTTTGAAATCGGGTATAATAGGTCTTTGAAAGAGTGAGTGATTGATGGCAACACACAAGCAGGAACACGAACTGTATAGAATACGGTATACGGACGTTGGTAAAGACGAGTCACGTAGAAGTGAACTGGCAGCTGCCAATGAGACAGTGGGAATGGAATGGTGATATTCACGGCGGGTGCAGCTTGGTGAACGTCGTCGGAGCGTTGGTGTGAGCTACCGTATCATGTGTTGTGTGTGTGTTTGGTGGGGCAAATCATCAGACGGGTATATATGAAAGCGCAGGATGCGCTATGTTAATGAAGAGAAAAAGCTGATTTTGGTTTGGTTTTTATCAGTTAGAGTTAGGCTGGGCCAGAGTTGATAAAGAAATCCAAGTTAGGGAGTAGATTAAAACGAGATGTAAGTTTGTTGGGGAAAAAGAAAAAAGAAAAACAACCAGGCCATTAACACAGCACATTTAGATCAAGTAGGCATTTAAGTCCTACATTAGCTTAAAGCGAGTCATGAGGATAAGAAGAAGTGATAACAGGATTTTTTTCTTGCCCACTAACTGTATCGTCACTTAACTCAAATGCGCACTGGACCCGATTCGTAGGGCAGGTCAGGGGTAGTTGGGTAAGGTAAGGCGACAGAAGTTTCACAGGTAGGGAATTAGTCCACGGACTGGCAAAAAGTATGGTGATGCGTGATGCTTCGCAGCTGCTCAGAAAGGCTGTTCCAGATGCGAGCTTAATAAACAAGAAAGAAGTAGTGGCGCAGGTTTGTACGAGCTGGCGGACACGCTAAGAGGTTGCAGGAGTTACGGAGTCTGTAGCGAGATTGTGAGATTATATTTGGTCTAGCCTCTGCTATAAACGCGTTTTTGTGCAGGAGATGGTGCAAGAGAGCTAGGTTTAACTTCAGTTCCCTGAGCCATGGTGATTCGAGTTCCAGGGTTTGACGGCGGGAAGGATAAGAGAGGGGTTGGACCGAGGGAACAGCTTTTTCGTGAATGAGCGTTGGAAAGTTTCATTTGTGAGTCTGCAACTTTGGGTTTACAGTGAGGAGAATGTGAGACAGACTTTCACGATTGGTCTTACGCGTAACTTAAAAACTGCAACCATTGTGTCAGGAGGGTGACAGGAGCGCAGTATTAAAAAACTGAGCCTTCGTGCTCTGGCAGCTTGAAACTGCACCTGATTGATTAAGCCAAAAGTGCAGAAATATCTTAGGTTGGAATCTTTTATCTCCGTGGAATGGGTGATAGGATTTCCTTTAATTGTGAAAGCGTCAGCCGGGTGAGAGCAGCGGTAGGAAGTTATGTGGGATTTTGTGGAGGAGGAGCTTAAGCCAGAATCATTTGTCCAGCGGGTCAGTGAGTCTAAGTCTCGCTTAATCTGGTGAAAGGCAAGAGCTGGCACAAAGGGGGGGATGTATGTGCGATTTTTATGTCGTCCATGGAGAGGAAAGCCTTACCATGGGATATGGCGCTGAAGACGTCTTTGATGTACAGTAAGAAAAGGGTGGGACTGGTACACATGCTTGGATGACTTCACTAGTGATCGATAGTGGGGATGATTTTGTGTCCCCGATATGCGTTTTTGCGTTTTATCCGATAAGTAGGAGGCGAACCACTGAAATAAGATTCCAGTGATGTCAACGGTACCAAGTTTGTGCAGCAGGGAGGCATGGGGTACCTGGTCAATGGCTTTTTGAGTGTCCAGGTAGATTAGTACAATGGAGTATCCAGCGTCGTAGACTGCTGTCCTGGTCTCAAACAAGTGGAGCTGGCAGCCACTTACGGATCTTTGGAACAGGAATCCAAACTGCCGGTCATCTATGGCATTAGTAGCCAGGAGAGACTTGTTCAATGGACCTTTGATCAGGGGCTCAAGGGCTTTCATTAGGAGGGAGGTGCGGTTGATTTCCCTGTAGTTGGAAGGAGTTTTCCTAGAACCAGATTTGAAGTGCTAGTGGATTATAGATTTCTTCCACTGGGATGGGATGATTCCATAGTTTATTAAGTGGGCAAAAGATTTACTACAAATATTCCAGTGTTTTTGCCCTATTGTCTCAACACACGCGGCGAAAGACCGTCGGCCCCTGGCATAACAGAGTTCTTAATTTTAGAAGAAGGGGTGAAATATCAGCTTGGGAGATGGTTATATTACTGAGAGTCGGTTGGCTACCCTGACCATTAAGAGTTTGGAGAGATGCAGCAGTGAGAAAGGGTATGGAGTTGGGAGGAATGGGTAGGTAGCAGCTGCAGCGTTCAGATGTTCCGCAATATTGACAGAATCAGTGGTGAAGCCAACATCTGTGAAGCGCAAACAGGCAATAGAGTGTTTGTTTGGGATACAATGCCTACGGAACAGCCGGCTGAGTGATTTGGAATTGGGAGGGGCTCTGATGACGGTGCTCTCTTCTCGGCGTTCGAGAGATATCCGCAAGGATTATCCGTCATTAGAGTTTATTGATATGAATTGGTAATGAGAAATCCTGAGGTTTCCGATATTCTCTGCTAGCCCAGTGTATTTTTGCATCCAAGGTTTTTAATAACTTATCGTAGCCAGAAATATTGGAGTGAGAACGTTTGACAGGAGAAACAAGGTGAAGTGCAGTCAATAGGTTTTGATAAGAGATGCCACAGACACGATGGATATTTGTCGGGAAGAATTCATCCCAATCCATCGAAAGCCAGCGTGGACGAAAAAGACAGTAAAATATCCAGATACTTTTCATACGTATCTACTATCCTGACAACCGTCTGGCCAGTCACTAATCCTCTTCTGTCCAATGCCGCCCACAATTACTATTTTGTTTCGTTCCAGTTCGGTTTTGATAGTCGGCCCATAAATTCGGGAATTGAATTTAAGACCCTATGCCTACCCATCCCCAATCGAGTGTATACCTAGTCACTGTTGTCCCCCAATGGCAAACGCTCAGCCTTCGCACATCAGAGGAGGAAGTTTCAGATTCCCCCATGTTTGGGTTAACTTGAGACCCTCAAGAGTGCATATGGCGGAAAGTTTAACATGTTATTACGGCTACCGTCGGCACCATATTTAGGAATTGAACTGAAGGCAAAAAGCTGAGCACCGAACCTGCATCATTGTTTGTTTGCACCATAGTGAAGAGAGGGTGCGTTGATTATTGTGCGGGACTTTCGTATTCCGTCGTGATGACAAGGGTGGCGCAGACTTCCGCTAAATCCGCTGGTAATGTGGGGAGTGGACATAAGGAAAATCAATACACTGATCGCGGGAAGCCAGCGGCGATAAGATCTAGCAATATAACTGCTGCAAAAGGTGTGATCCCTACGTTAATACGCTAAATTCTCTGCAGCCGTTGCCGATGCAATTCGTACTAGTCTTGGGCCAAAAGGAATGGACAAGATGGTTTGTTCGCTTCTCCTGTTTTCATTTCTTAGATACAAGAGCCGAAAGGGGACGTGACAGTGACAAATGATGGGGCGACGATCCTAAGGCAGATGAAATTGTTGCACCCGGCTGCAAAAATGGTAGAACACTCTGGTTTCTTATTCCTGTTCTTTTGCAGCTCGTCGAACTTTCCAAAGCGCAAGACATTGAGACGGGTGATGGCACAACCACTGTCGTCGTGTTAGCCGGAAGCCTTCTTGATGCATGTTCCAAGCTTTTGAACAAGGGTATCCATCCTACCACGATTTCCGACGCATTTCAGCGGGCTGCTGTGGAGGCCTGTGCAATCATCGACAACATGGCAGTGCCAGTCAAACTGGATGACATGCAGCAACTAATCAAAATTGCGACGACCTCCCTGAATTCTAAAGTAGTGTCTCAACATTCGGGCGCGCTCGCGCCGATAGCCGTAAAGGCGGTGCTTGAGGCCGTGGATCCCAGTTCCCCTCACACGGTTACCCTTGACGATGTTCGTGTTGTTAAAAAGTTGGGGTGAGTACTTAACTCCACCTTTGTTTCCCATTATACTTCACCACTTCGTTATGCTGGCTGATGTGTCCTTTGGCAGCTCTTTAGTCTCTGGTCATCATCGTTAGTGTTGACACTGGTGCCTCTCTCTGAACCCAAAGTATCTGTGTTGGTCTTGTGTTACCGTAGTCGGTTGTGTTTCCCGTAGTTGGCTCTGCCGTTTGTCTTCGTCGCAAAATCGATGGATCGGTAGATGCACACACGTAAACTGGGAAATGTCGGAGAAGCTGGACTCGCATAGACTCCTGTGAATTTTTGAATTTCAAAAGGTTGTCGATTTTCGCGACAAGGAAACCTCTTATTCGACAGCATCCATACGGATAGTGGCTGGGAAGTCCGCACTCCTAATTGGTGGGAGAATATTGCAATGGGGTTATGGGTTTTGCGCACAAAATGAGCAATTCAGGGTGTTAAAACCATGGCAAGAAAACCTGAGCCGGTAGATGAGTGTCCAAAAATGTCCGTTTGTGGTCTTTAATATAGTGTCCTTTGTTTCTCCGTGTTAGTCAGAAGACGCATTGAATGGGGCAGTTGGTTAATGGAATGGTCCAATTAGTGAAATCTACGTGGGAGGCGCCGGGAGTACCCTGGATTTTGATCGTCAGTCGCAGAGCTCCAATTTGTGTAGGGTTTTTCTCAGTTACCGCTCAACTAAAAGGCGCATCGTTTTCGTCCAGTGATCGACATACATGGCAAAAGTGTTTGTGACAGCGGATTGAAACGGTTGAAAACCATGTACACAGGTGTCAAATCTACAGAAATATGAGACGGAGAACCAGGGACGAACCTAGGAAGAACTCAATCCTTAGACCGTTACCAACTGGACCCTTACTTTCTTGAAGACGGTGTTGGTTGGATGAATTTGTGAGTATGATTAGTCCTCTGTGTCCTCAGGTTTGTGGGTGCATGAGAACATACGAAAACTTCTTCAGAAGCTTCTGCACACTGTCCAATGACCCAAGTGGTTAGAGCGCGAATTTACGGACTGGAAGGTCCGTGGTTCGAACTCGACCTCTGCCTCTCGACTTCTCATACCTAGGCTTGGGCAACCTGGCAGTATCCCAGCCCTCGTGCAGCCTTGGGGTGGCATGGCAGTGGTCCCGAAAAGGTGTTACAGCTGAACGATTTTTTTTACACAATGTGATGCCCGGCACTGATGCCGACTCTCCATACTTCTGCAATATTGAGATCAACAAGATAATGAAATTAACGCTGCGAGATCCCCAATACCCTAGTTTTCAGATGGCTGCCAATCGAAAACATCGATATGGAATATGTAGACGACACTATTCTCGTCTTCAAAGGGGAGATTGCACAGGTGTTTTTGGATGAATGGACCAAAGTCACTGCGTCCTTCCGCAAGCGCTTAGCACTTACCACTCCACTTATAATCCAAGAAAGGATATTCAAATCTGTGGAGTGCTTTAAGTATATTAGAAGTAGTATTAGGCCTGATTATAGTGCGACAAAAATCGCCCAGCTATAGCACCCGGTGCCTAGCTGCCATGCTGCCCGAAGGAAGCACGGGGACTGAGATACTGCTAGGTTGTCCAAGCCTAGACAGGGGAAGTCGAGAGGCAGAGTTCGAGTTCGAACCACGGACCTTTCGGTCTGTAAATTTGCGCTCTAACCACTTGAGTCATCTCGCCCCCTTTAGTGTGACAAATGATGTTGATAACAAATTTCTAAGGCTCGGGTCGCGTTTGTTAATTTGAACATCATGCTGCAGCTACGAGTTGTAAGACGTGGCTCCTGCCTATGGCGGAATGAGATCTGCTCAAGTCTTCGGTCACCGTGATCTCAGGACCGTAATTCGTGTAGTCTGGTACCGTCGAATCCTCAATGGAATAATTGAGAAACGAATATTTGCAGCAATGAATTTAGTCAAAGGATGTGTCTTGTACCAAAAGCTGTGGTGGTTCAGACATTTATTGCGCATACCAAAAAGAGTGCTGTTTTCCGTGCCGAATTCAAAGTGGCGCAGGAAGAGCGGTTGCACTTTGACTTGACAGAGAGGTAGGAAAGAGATTACGAAAAGTCAGGGTACTGTGGGTACAACTCGCCTTCTAGGATGGGGTCCACTTGGTCACCCCCTGTGCTACAAAACGTTGATGTTAGTCTTGTATTTTTTGCCGTCAGTTCCTTTCCTAATCGAATGAATGAGCGGTGTAGACACCTCAGAATTATTCTGGTAAGCCAGCGCTGAGTCGTCTCCCATCAACTTCTATTCCTTTCTTCACAACAGGACTTTCAATTAACTTATGATTGTACGGCGGTGAAGCATCAATGTTGGACATTGATGTTGTGTTGATGCTGAATGAGGTCATGGGATATACTGATCCCACCTGGGGACCATCCAGGAGTGGTGTAGAAAGTGAATGGACAGTAGAATTTAGACCTACTTCAAGATGGCGCATCAGAGTTGCTAGGCGCGACCAGTCATCGCAGCTTGTGTGTTCCTATCTGCTTGACTAGTGGTAGGCGGACTTTCCGACTAAGCTCTGTAGGTTGTACCTCCTGAGGCTTTTGTATATCTGGCTAATTTTATGCCGTCCGGCTGCATCTTAAGCTATCGTCTTCCTGTGCTGTATGCTCACCGAATTGGCTCCCAATGCCATGTGATAACAATTGTTCATCAGTAACACCTTTTGGTGTCCACCTGCCACGTCGCCCGAAAGTAGCACGAGGGCTGAGATCCTGTCATGTTGCCCAAAACATTTACTGGAGCAGCTGAAGGATGAGCGGTGCTATATTCTGTCTAAATGCGAGCTAATCGCAGTGCTGATCAGCCGATCATTGATGAACGATGAAGTGCCAAAGCTACTAACTGGAAGGTTGTGGGTCGTAGACTTCCTGGGGTTTCGTGAGCTTCGCAGTGTTTACGATATGGCTGAAACAGCTGTACGGTGTTTCTCAGCATAGATTGGCTTTATTCACAAGACGAAATCTTCCTTGAGAACCTCAAATTCTTATTGCCGACGGTGTATTTAGACACGGTACTACTGATAAGCAGCTGCTGGTGGGCACAGAGTTGGAAAAATTGTCCACCGTCATAATTACCCTTTGCGCCCGAAGACGCCTCTGATGAACTGAGGTCTCCAGCCTGAAGATCAGGGTACTGTCAGACCTTTGTCCACTGGCCAAACCGGTAAAAAATCCCCGTGGATTCTACTTAAGAACCATGAAGTTGAACTGAGTAGGTCCGAGGTTCACAAGTCCTTCCGCCCCGATAAGGTCTTGTCTCTCCGCGATAGTCCTATTACCAGACCAATTGACCTCTTAATCCTTTCGCAGTAAGCAGGTCACCCCTTTGAAGGCCCATATTCTTCTGAATTTCCAAGTACTTTCTCATTTTTCCTGGCGGAATATATCATGTGTAAAACGTAATGCGTAGGCCAAATTCCTCAGTGTGGCGATACTTCAGTTCTGCCTTTTGTGGGCTGCTGGCGTGGGTGTTCACGAATGCCGCAGCCGTGATTTAATTTTTGACTCTAAAGAACATCGCATAATTGGATCGATTTCTCTACGTATAAGAAGCTGTGTTGTGAACAACTCGACAGTTTCCATGTTTTCTTGTCTTGTGTTTTCTTGTCTACAAACTTATGAAAGCGAGCTTGTGCCGACGTTCTACATATGACTGGACTGAACTGCTCATGAGCATAAAGATAACCAGACCGGAAGAGACTGAGAAGCGATCGGCTCCGCTAATTCTGTTTTGCTCCTGTCTCATATTTAGGCTTTGACCATTTGTATTTGTTCCGGTTCACATTTCACTAAATTTTTCCACCATATCTTTTGTAGTGGTACTGTGGAAGATACAGAATTGGTAGACGGGCTCATCCTGACCCAAAGAGTAGCCCCCGGTTGTGGCGTGAAGCGAGTGGAGAAGGCCAAAATCGGTCTGATACAGTTTTGTGTATCGCCACCAAAGACAGATGTAAGCAGATTTCGCCCATTTATTGACCACCTCTTTTCTGATAGATGGAAAATACCGTTATTGTTACCGACTACACGCAAATGGACAGAATCATGAAAGAAGAGCGACAGTATATTCTGAATATAGTGAAGGCTGTCAAAAAGGCCGGTTGTAACGTACTTCTCATTCAGAAGAGTATTCTTCGTGATGCGGTCAACGATTTAGCCCTCCACTACTTCTCAAAAATGAACATCATGGTTGTCAAAGACATTGAGCGGACTGAAGTTGAATTTATCTGCAAGGTAATTTGTTGATCTCTTGTTTGTTCTCATCTGGATGTTGCGGTTTTTTGTTTCCTTCCAACTGTCATAACGATGTACATTCAGCCATTTCACCGTTCACATTTTCACAGCCAGCTGCACCGCGTCTTCAAAAGAAATTGATGTTATCACCACAATACTCCCAGATCAACTGTGATTGTTGGGTAGTGATACATCAGTATTCAGCACTGATATGTTGTTATTCATTAGTGTCAATCTTTTGAGGAACAAAAGCTCCCATCACTATCGGCATCAACTCTTGTGTGTTTGCCTTCCAGCCTTAGCTAGGATGGCGAAACTTAACTGTCAGACCCCGCACTGTGGTTGGCAATCAATTGGGTGTTTGTCTAATGATAGCGGGAAGATACATCACTTACGGTTGACTGGGATATCGCTTTCGAAATTCACTGCTCATGCTAGCGGTGCTGATCACCTGTTCTGTGTTTTCACCACCTTGCTAACTGCGCTTGTTTTTTTGCAAAGGCTGAGGGCGCACTGCCAATTAAAATGCTATGGCGTCCCCGGAAGGCAATGCACCCTCTGACCTAGCGACTGGAGTCACTTGAGGAAACCTCTCCATTGGTTAGTGGAATGAATGCAATTTGTCCACTACCGCCAGCCGAATTGTCTGGTTACGAAAACTCCTCGACTATCGATCGGATATCTGGTGGTTTTTGATACACATCGAGTCCAGATTCCTGGCTCGGGCGCTCCCAGTTTAACGGACCAGTGAGTCAATCAGGTCTCCACGTTGTTGAGATTATCTGAATTGACCATGCTTGTAACGCAGTCATCCTACGACCCGATAGCCACAAAGCATGTATTAGTTCATTTCAAAGGGACCCCCTTGAACTTTACTGTGGTAGCCGTTTGCCTCACCACGTCAGTATCACACCGAACCATAAGGGACAATTTCTATAAACAGTTGCAACAGGTGGCCAACAAGAATTCGAGACGCGACATTTTGATGATAGCGGCTGCTAGAATTCTCGGATTAGTGGACCAAGCAATAACACGCTTCATATTCTTGGTCGGTCTGAATTGCGTTGGCGCCGCGAAAATGGTGCCGCGCTCTGGTCTTGCCGCAGATGAGACATGTCCTCCAAGTTCCATCAACATTGCATTACTCGGTCGCCGGGATGACCAAAACATTTTAGCTATAACTGCTAGTTCGGACGCTAAAAGCTCTGTCCGTCCAGATTACCAATGGGCTTCGATGAGCGACCAGTGGACAGCTTTGAAAACTATAGCAGGCCATTGTGAACTAGATAGGTTCTATCCAACGGCATCGCAAAGATCAGGTATATGGGAACATTCATGTTTCCAGAAAGTCTGATTTGCGCACAAGGACTACATCACATGCCCTGAGATGCTGTGTCACCGATTGGGCATGGCATCAGACGTGGAATCCGCTTCGAAAGTTGGTCATTTCGGAAAATGCTTTCGCCCCGTACGCGTGATGTCAGGAACCTTTCGGTCTTTACAACCTTTGTTGCAAAGGGAAAAGTCAACAACCTTGACAAGAAAATGAGGCTGTGGATGGAATTTTCCACACAACTACCAAGCCCGACGGACTGGTGAACGATGTACTCTCCCCATTTGGGAAGGCCAGAACGACGTTTGTGGTGTCGGCCTGACTTCAGCTTGGCTCTCAAGGGTAAAGTGTACGGCGCCGTCGTCTGTTCTTATTTCATGGGTCAGGAACGTGGCAGATGCGTACATTGACTCGCTTCCTCCGAGGCATTACACGGGTCTGGTGGTTGCATGGAGTCAGTAATGCTGAAATACCAGATGGTATGGGGGAAGGTTCACTCTTCCTCGGTTACACTCCACAGGGTGTGCTGGTTAGACCATCCACTTCGTGTGCCAGAGGATCATCTACTTCATAAAGCCTTCTTCGCCCAGCCCTGCATCGGATGGAGACGACCAAGAGGCGGTCAGTCCATGACGGAAGGTCCGTGGTTCGAATCTGACTTCGTCTCGACTTCTCCTGTCTAGTCTTCGGCAACCCGACAGTATCCTAGCCCTCGTGCTTCCCTCGGGTGGCATCGCAGCTAGGCACCGAAAAGGGTGTTACGGCTGAGTATGGCTGTGAGACTTGGCCTATTCAAGCAGCGGAACTGAGACGTTTTCAGGTGTTCGACAATCGTTGTCTCAGAACCATAGCTCGTGTGGTTTGGTGGCTGCGAATCCGTAACGAGGCAGTTAGAAATCGCGTTTTTGGTTATGCAACGGGTACTTCCATTGAAGAATGTGTCCAGCACCAGAAGCTGCGTTGGTTGGGACATGTGTTACGTATGCCGAACCATCGTTTCCCGAAGAGAGTGCTGTTTTCCATGCCCAACTCAGAGCTGGCCAACCCTTGACTTGGCAGAGGAGTATGAAGGGAATCACGAAAAGCTTGGGTGCTGTCGGTGCTACTCGCCTTCCAGAATGGGGCCGCGTGATCCTCACTGTGCCTGGTTGGAGACACTACAAGATATGGTTGCTAACTGATGTCAGTGGCGTTCTTGTTGTCAGTTTCTATCTAAATCGCCTGAGTGAGTGGAGGTGTAACCATCTCGTAATGATTATGGTAAGCTAGCACTAAGTCCCTTTTCCGTCGACCTTTACTCTTTTCTCTACAATAAGGCTTCCAAATAAATCATGGTGGTACGGCAGTAGAGCATCGGTGTTGAAGACTGATGTCATGCTGTCGGTGATGATGATGATGTTACAGCTGAACGATTATTTCGCTTCATACTAGACAGAAATCGATTTGTTATCAGTGAGCAGACTGAGTCATCGCCTCCAATCAGTGAACCTAATTCTCTTATTTTCTCCTAAACCTCGGTGAAGAAAGTTGTAGCAGATGGGCCCCGGACTCCAAAACCACCTACGGCGGTAGTGCTAGTATGTACTAGTGATGCCTTATTGCTAGTGATGAAAGAAAGCGTTCAGCTGTAGCACCTCTCCGGTGCCTAGCTGCCATGCCACCCGAAGGAAGCACGAGGGCTGGGATACTGCCAGGTTGCCCAAGCCTAGACAGGGGAAGCGAGTGGCGGAGATCGGATTCGAACCACGGACCTTCCGGTCAGTAAATTCGCGCTCTAACCACTTGGGCCATTTCGCCCCCTTGCTGGTGATGATGGTGGTGATGAAGCCATATTACGACGCCAATTGATTCGGAGACAACTGCAACCGTCAAATTATAAAGAACAGAAAAGCTCCCAAAAAGACGGAATATAGTCGATATCTGTGAATCGTGCATCTCGCCACTTCATGCACTTTTAATCTGGGAAGTTGAATGTGTTCTCTAAGATTGAGGCACTTCAATTTTACAGTCGATCCCCTCAAAAAGCAGTGAAACAGTCCAGCATAATTCCCGCGAGATGATTTTGAATTGATGTTAAAATATTTGCTTCCCTTGTGCTGCAACGCTTTCTTCCAGCAGGAGGTACACACAAGGCCAAACCCATTCCGTGAGAAACCTCACCAAATATTCTTTTCGGCAAACATAAGAACCTCGACTCGAATTCCTGCAGCACGCTCCGTAAACTTTCAAGCTGTTTGATTAGATTAAACGTGAGGCACCCTGGACAATTTTTTTGGCTGACGGAATCCCGTGCAACGGTTAATCTGGTACATCCCTTAAGATCTATTACCCACCAGTGAATTTTGCTTCTCAGTACGCGGCGAAGAGGGTTCGATATCCTATCTCTCATACGACCGGTACTCATCAACTTCACTGTCGATTAGTCACTTGAGGGGGCATTGTTAAAATACTCTGGTGTCCAATCCCCAAGCCTTTATATCTAATTTGGGATAGGTTGATGACATCGTTCAGTTTGGTGGGAATCGGAATAAATGGGAAGTGTACTAGACACTCTACCCTGCTGCACAGAACTCAGAGGATGTTAGAGCCCGAAGTACCTCAGTGGTTAAGGTGACAGCTGACGGACCGGAAGGTCCGTGGTTCAAACCCAACCTCAGCATCTCGGCAGCTCCTGTCTAGACTTGGGCAACCTGACAGTAGATAGACACCGGAAGGGTACCACTGCTATACGATTCAGAGAATGGGGAACATCTCAAAATTTGAGGGAGCGCAAGTTCACTAACCGCAGGATCCTTGGTTCAAACCCGACCTCTGCGTCTAGATTTCTTTTTTTGGGGGGGCTTGGGAAACCTGGTACTATCTCAACCCTCGTGCTCTCGGGTGACATGACAGCCAGGCACCAGAAGGGTGTTACAGCTGGACGGTTTTATTTATTGTCTTAATCTCCACGGTCATGTCCGCGTAGCCTGTCAAGTAATGGAACCGGTTACTGGCTTCGTGTGCATCGATCCCGCCACTCTGCCCAATCGGCAGGTTTGGGAAGAGATTCGGCTTGTGGAGATTGCTGGGCATGCTTTTATACACTTCATGGAGAAGTACCTGGACTATTCTACGCGGGAATCCAGCCACTTCTGACTTAGGCCTGCGAAACCTTGCCTCAAGCAGCAGAGAATAGCCAAAACCTGAATGTCTTTTACCACCGACATCTCCGAGTTCGCTGTCCAACGGTGATGCCTGGGACGTCACAATCCACTAATCCCACCCCGACTCTTACACCAGTGACTTCTGCAGCGGTTTGAAATCTGTTGCGAAGACGCGGTGCCGAGGTTGCCATACAAGCTTTGGCCCTCTAAACCACGTCAGTGGTGACGTTTTTTCGGAGGACAACCAAAAACATGTATGGTGCGGTCAACGGCGAACTGCAACAACTTAACCTCCCCGAATTCTACAAAGCTCGTCATTGCATCAACGCTATCTGTGCAGATCTAGCGATCGGTCGCCACGCGTGAGTAGCCTGTATTCGGGACGTTTCTAAAGCTGGCCCATCTTGTCTCAGATTGCCTTAAAGTGAAGCAAGGAAGTTGCTTTATTTCAGAGATGGAAGTAGTCCTACTTAACAAAGGTAATTTAATTTCGCAAGCATTCCCTACGGAAGCAGGTGCTGATCTTTTTCATGTCATGACCCCTCTGTAACTACGAAATGGCCGGTAACCGCCAAACTTTCGGTTAGTCTGTCACTTTGACTCACCACTCTGTCAGTTCATCATGCAACAGAACTCACAGTTCTGTTATTATCCACTCTTTTTTTAAACACGAGACTTTATTGATATTTACCTTCACCATATCGTGAGTTCTTATTGTGCATAGCAACCGTGTTCGTCTTATTCACAACGCAGGTCCACTCGCCGGATTGTTCAGCGTCACCTGCGTGGATCGGAATATGTAAGCTGGCATTCGCTGCGTCGTGTGGTGCTGCTACGCGTTTGGCCTGCTTCTTGACAGAATTATTTGAGGAAAGGTGTACCGCTGCTCACTGTAGACAGTATTCGCATCCTAATATCGTGACGAATACTTTAGGTAGGGTGTTGTTAAGGTACCACCCACGTTGAATCCAATCATGGGCATCGTTCATAATGTCCTTCGCGGTGCTGAAATTATGGTTTGAATCAGTAGGACCTGGATGTTTGAGGAAACGTCTATCGGTTTGCCAAAACATCGGTGCGCACATTTGCCACAGCATAAACAGCTACGATTGCGATCCCATCTAGCAAAAGTACAAGCACAAGAGTCTCGAAACTGATGATCACCAAAAACGTGCTTCAACAGTTCAACGATTTCTGTTTCCATCGACTTCGCTCTTGTTTGAACGGTCGTCCTGTCTTGGATCGGTCTTCCTCGTTAATCCACACTAAAAAGGAGGCAAAAAGGAACATCAATCCAGCCAAAACAGAGTTACTTGGCTGCCTGTTCCTCTTTCGGTCCTCTATCACTTTGTATAAAGGTTGTCTTGCCAAGTTTACCTCATACATACCCATGTGATTGATTGCTTTCCATCCGTAACGGATCCTCCATTGCTAGTATTAGATCCGTAGTCGCCACTCGATAGTAATTATACTACTGTGGTGGCACGTGCAAGCCTCAGCTACCGGTGTAAGGCAGAGACTAAGGTCAACGGGAAAGTACCCAGAGTCCGACCTAAATATGGCGGCATAAAGATTAGCACCAGAACTAGTTTCTTTTCACACCAAAATGCTGACGTCATCCATTAATTGCTTCACCTGTCAGCAGGATCCCGCGCGTAAGCTGTCGTAACATTGACGTGCCATTTATGTTGGAATGAAAGGCCGGGTGGTGAATCATTAGTTGGATGGCTGTTAGCACCGTCTCGTAGTACGAAATCATCATATCAAAAGCTGCCACCTCCACGTGGTTATTGCGTTTGAGTGCTGCCATGATTCCGTGGTTTCATTAGCTTGATCTCTGTTCTTCAAGGCACAACCATCGAGGCAGAGCCGAAAAAGAGCGGTCAAGCAAATAGAAGTGAGCTTCTGCACTACAAGTAATCGTATTGTGAGGTGCCTCTTTCAGCAGGCTTGCTGTAAAGATAAGGCTAATCACCTGCTTCAGACACCTTCAGAGTATCAGCGTTCAGCGGTTCATCAGGATGCATGCCAAGACTTTGCGATACGAAGGCTGATGCCTAATTAGTTGTCCCTTCCCTGTCGGCTTCGCTTTCCCTTGGGCAGTGATGTGATTCTTGTGTCATTGAACTCTTGGGATAGTCCGAGCTTCTTGGATTGTGCTAATCAAACGAGCATCCTCTTCTTTCATTTCGGACATTTCAGCAGGTAATCCCTCTTATCCTGTTGCCTTTCAAGTTTGCAGTGCACACGCGCGAAGCACAACCGATTGTGTAACCAGCACGTCGAATTTTGTTGATAAGTCTAAATAGAACAAAGCGCCGTTTTAAGTGTCAACGCGCCTGATCAGGAATCTGCCATTGTGGGCAATATGTAATACACATCAGTTAAGTTGGTTTAACAATCCTCTGTTTCCAAACCTTGGGGCTTCACACCCTCCGGTCCTTGGAAGTCCGCCTCCGATTGTGAATCATTAAGTTTCTGCCAGAGTAAACAGCGCAGACGAAGGTATTTATTGGTTTAAGGGTGAAATATGTTGTTACTGGTTTCCTAGAATTTACCAATCTGACGCCATTTTGGGGTTGGACATTTGCGATAAACGTGTTGGTTGATGACTCTAATTGTCTTTCCAGGCTTGGGCGTCCCAGCAGTAACTTAGCCACCACACAAACGCTACACCAGTAAGAGTTGTCTCCTACTGCGCGTGATGACATCAGCCTGGACACCTTATTCACACTATTATTTCCTGCCTAATCCTAGCTAATATTTAATGTAGGCACATTGGATGTCTGTGGAGGACTGGCACTAGACCTCTTTCCGTTTTCGTTCTTCTCTTAATCAGAGATCTTTATCTAAGTAAATTGAGCTGGTTGTATGCTGACTGCTGTCGATGGGCTGTATCTGTTACTACCGGAGCCTATCCCGACCAGTGACCCTCAGGTCATCTATTTCGCCTGATCGCCCTTCCGTACTGCAACTTAGTAGAATAATACCGCTGGTGTGTTGCTGATACTGAGGAGAGGGACTGGCGTACTTTGTGTTTCTGGTATTGTGGGAGTGTCCTGCCAAATTCTTTTTAGGGAAATTCAATGATCGCCTTGAACCGTTCAGGTCTTTCGCACTTCTGGTTACCGTACCGGAACCTGTTTCATCTACCTAGATCTCATATTGTTCGCTATCTCTACCAGTCTGCTATAAATGTCTAAAGCTAGTCATGGCACTGCTTAGCACGGCTTTCCCAATTCAAATCGAGACGAAATTTATGAATGAAATATCGCCTGGGTGTTGAGCTTCTTGGTCAGAATGTTTCTTTAACAATTGTAACCTCAGTTCTTGATTGACCTCGTTTTGCAAACATAAATACGATTTGCACCATTACCCTTCGAAAACGAGCCCGGTCGTGCGCAAAGTAGACTTGCCCGCTAAGTGAATGTCCGGATATTAATAGATGATCTACTTCAAAATATCGTCGACAGACTCAGGAACTTCGTGTAGATGAGTTGAAATATTCTTACTGGTGGTAGCCTACACGAGAATCTACTTTCAAGGAACAGGGTACCCAATTTTTGCGCCAAATCCACATTTTCAATCTAGAGTACTCAGCTGCTGTATCTGGGCGGGTAGCTCCGTATTGCGTTGTCCGTTTTTCTCTGAATCTTGAAAACTACAGCGACTCTCAACTAAGAACCATCAACCCAAAGCAGTAGTCACAGCACACAGAGCATCTAAGTGATCATTGCAATGAAAGTCACCTGTGATTATCATATTCTCTGGGTGAATACGAACATGGGACTTGGTGTAAAACGCCTTTCCCTCACACCATTTTCCTATCTGCCTCATCACTCACAGAAAACGATGCTTACTGTGAACTCTCGTCCGTTGGTGGCCGTAATCCTTTGCAGTGATCTTGTAGATGGTTCGGTAACAGGTAACTAGCAGCCATCGGAAGACAGATATCCCTCTTTGACGAGTAAATCAACTTGATGAGGCCACGAAAGTACACCTTTTCCGCGTTCGAGAACTGTTCGCAATTCCCATGCGGGTTTCAGTGACAGTCTCAGCCAAAGGGTTAATGTATCAACGTTCTTTTTCCCCATGAGTACATCGTTAAAATGTTTTATTGCGCTCTGAATTCGTGGACAATCGTTGAAAATGAGGACGCCTTCGAATGTGGAATTATCTGTTGCGAAAAACGAACAGGGTGGTTACAAGCTGTCTGATACCAAAGCAAAAACCTCAGTTGTTCGGACTTATTCCTGGGCTTCATTCGATGTTTGAATATTTAACATGAACAAACAAACTCTGTGGAACGCATCAGTCTTTTCCAAATCAGCCTTCGGTAAGATGTCGAGTCGATGTCTAAAACTACCTTTAACCATATATCATTCGCACCTTTCGTCACTAGTATATACCATCACACCGGCAGTTCACCTCTGCTTAGAATAATGACGAATTTTTGACAGAATCAATTCGATATTGCTGCATGAACTCTTGGCTGGAAGGTCTGGTTCAAATGCGTTTATATCTCCATTAGCAACCTGGCATCCGTTCAGTCCTCTTTCTTCCAGTGGGTTGCATGGTAGCTGGGAATTAATAGTAAGCCACTATGAAGTAGTTACTTTTTGATGTCGAGTATGCTAATCACCTTTGTAGTCCGCGTGACTTAATAGGCGTTCTTGTGTAATTATTGGAAAACACGGTGAACCCGGACGCATTTTTATGCTCTGTAATTTGACTTCTCTGATTTTACGCCAGACCTTACACTGCACACCAATCGCCAGTCTGGATCATTTCAACCCAGAATATTTGGGTTCGGCAAACTTGGTTGAAGAATCTGAAGCAACCGCTCGATGTGTTCGTATCACTGGGATTCAAAATAAGGGTCGTACTGTGTCCATCCTTGTTCGAGGCTCAAACAAGCTGATGTTGGACGAAGCAGAACGATCGCTGCACGATGCACTCTGTGTCATCCGCTGCTTAGTCAAGAAAGGGTGAGCTCGAGTACTTTAACTTTGCCCCACATCGTCGTATGTTGGCTCCTGTGACTTCAGTTATTCGAAGTCCTTGCATTTACCTTCTCCCCGTCAGTATGTTCCTACTCGCTTTAGTCTTTTACTTTAACTTTTCTTCAAGTCATCATTTTCCGGTAGCTTGATTGCTAGTACTATTTTCTTGATCATCAGTCTTCAATTGTTGCGCCTTACCTTTGTGCTCTTCCCAACTTCCTCGGGGCACTCACTGATCATGATTGATTAGCTGAGTCACACTGCCAAGTTTAGTGTGCTAGGTTATTCTCTTAAAGGAAACTACTCACAAGGTTGCTGAAAACTCTCCTCTTTAAGATCATGTCCATAAAACCCCATGATTTATTACCAACCCCTTATGAAACCGATAGAAGCCATATGCCAACCAACTTTAGGAGTACTGTTCAATATGACGCTATTCTCTTCCACGCTACTGAGTGTAACTGATTAATAATTGGTCATTGTTCTGTGAGTTTAGTCGGTGCCACTGCTGGGTTAAGACAGTCGATTCGTCCAAGTGTGTGGATATCCACTCCACTGATGATCGGGTGTTCTTTCAGCTTCGTGCAAAAACATTTTAAAGCTGGAGAATGCTCCGTGACGTAGGTCGAGATTACTCAGGTCAATCGAGCCTTTATTAATCCTCTGCCGCTTTGTGGATGCGAGACCTGTCCACCGCAGTGAAAGGATGCGCGAAACGTGAAGGCAGCCGAACACTGATGTTTGAAAGATGGAATCTTTAGTGAGGCGGTCTGACACCACTGTCGCCGTATATCAAAATTGTCATCCGCATCCAGCACCGTGGTCTATAACGGACACGTACTCCATGGGCTGAATACTAAACCTTTGAGGAAGTTACTCACTCCAACCCCTCACTAGGTTGCCATAGTCGTCGAACGGAGCTGCCATTAAACGAGGCGTCCATCAGCTTGGCTTGGTCTACAATATTCTATGCCGAGACGGGATTTCAGATGTCACAGATGGATGAGTATGTGCAGCTGGAGTACGCTGTATTCCTTAAGAACCTTGCAGCAACAATGTAAATTTGGCCGGATTTATGACTGTACACTTGAACCTTCAACAGTCGACACCGTGTTCAACTCCTTTGACCAACTACTCCAGCGCGTCAGTCTTAGTCGGTTAGTTCTCTCACTTTATGACCACCTTCTGTAGAAACAAGGTCTAAACACGTTGGTCGTCAGTTTCCGGTCCAATATCCGGTTCTCTAGATTGCCAGGAGACAAAAGTTCAATCCTTCTGAATAGACTGTTGAGGTCTAGGTTCCCCATCTTTCGAGGGCTAGTTTGGACTGTTCGGTATCCGATTTACGGAAAACTCGTCCATATCATTGTAGTCAACATTACTGAATCCCTCTGGAAAAGCGCAAACATTGTGAAGATGTTTTCATCATGATGTCAGAGTCGTGAACACAGTCCTCTTGCCCGTACTCATTCAACGCATTCTACTGTTTTGTTAATGCACCCGCGTCCTTCAGCTAACGGGTTTGGTGCTTTTGAGTAGGGACCTTGTTCAACTGTATTTGATAAAAGACAAGTTGATGAATAGCTTATTTTTGTACATTTTTCACTTTGATGGGCAGAAATTATAGAACGAACTAGCAAACAGTTGACCAACGAAGTTAGCAGATATCTTCCAATTTGTCAGTACAAGTGACTCGTCCAGCGTCACTCACAAGATAATATTGTCTCTGGACATGCTATCTTTATTCACGAATGTACCGTTAAGAGGAGCCACTGGCTGGTTGCATCAATTCGTCTATGCTGATAAGGCTGATGAAGGCCTCTCCGCTGAGCACTGAATCACTTATTTTGCACTAAAAACGCGTGGTTCAAGTTTCACGATGCTATTTGCCGTCAAGAAGACGGAACAGCAATGAAGTCCTCTCTAGGCTTACTGTATCGTGACATATTTATGGTATAACAGTCAACCGGATCACACGTAGTATTACCTGCTACTCGAAGCACTCTGACAACGACTCTAGTGGCATGGATGAGTGCGTTTCATTGAACATGTCAAAACATAACCACGATCGAAGTAAATGTAGCTCCATCCTTTCTATAAGTGTTTCTTGAACGGCCAAAACAATGACTCCATACGGCGCAGCACTTTTCACAACAAGACTTAAAGCAGACGATAGTTTCGTGCATTAGCGCAACCTCGTGCTTTCTGAGGCAGTGTCCAGGAGTTACACGGCGGTCACAGTAAGAAGTGAAATGAGTGAAGTCAAAGGTGCTTTAATGCGAAGCGCTTATTTCAAGTCACTTATCTTGAAGAGACACTTCTTGCATAAAAAGCTCCTACAGTGAACAAGAAAGTGGTCTTCATGCGACTCCCACATAAGGGGAATACAATAACAGCACCTCATAAAGCATCTGCTTATCACTGTCTAGGTTTTCTTAGGCGACGAAACCGGTTGCTACTTTTTCAGCAATTCTAGTGGTTTGTCTAAAGCGGAAGTGACAGGCAACCACGTCTTGCAACCGTGTTCCTCGACTAAATCCAGAGGTTTCCATGGATCGAAACTGATATTTGTGTTCTTCCTTACTTGTGCTAAGGGAAAGCCTCATTTGGAGACCACTCATTAGCTTGTTCGGAAAAACCTTCCGGAAATCTCTTACACAGTTTTTATGTGGAGTGGTACGTCCTAATGTTGAATCCTACACGCGCCGCCCTTCTGGCCTCAGAATAGAACATAATACTTCAGGGGGAAGTCGGAATTTGGTGCTTTCCTACATTTTGTTGGTATAATCTAAAGAAAAAAACATTCCGAATAATCCAATGTAAGACCGTTAGACGTTGCCTGCTAGCCACAGCAGATGGCGCAGTTCGGCAGAACAGCTCCGAGTCTTCGTCATCTAACCAGCTCAATTAACCTCGTCAAACGTAGACAAACTCGCTCCTTTCATCCCGCTGATAAGGATCTAGTGGAAATCGACTAGTCCCCAGTCGTGATGTTTAAACAACCCTATAGGACGCAGCAACTTCATGTTTTCATTTTGCTTACCGGTTTAGCAAAGGTGGTGTGGTATTGACGGAAATAGTACGTTTATCAATGAGCTTTCTAATGTATTTGAGTGTAACGACTCACTCCCGATCTTACAGTCTTCAGATGCTGGACAGATAATCGCATGATTGATTACTTTCTGGAAAAAGTGTATTGCTCAGTCGTGTTTTTTCCTCCGTGTTTTTTATTTTTTGTTTGCTCGTTCATTGAAGTTGGGTCTTGCCCCGAGAGTTGTTCAAGTACATTTTATGTTCCAGTGCACTGGTTGCTGGTGGTGGAGCTCCAGAAATTGAAGTGGCCCAGAAGTTGGCTCTGCTAGCCAATACCACTCCCGGATTAGACCAGTATTGCTTTCGTGCCTTCGCTGATGCCTTTGAAGTGGTACCGTACACACTGGCTGAAAACGCTGGTTTAAATCCAATACAGACTGTTACGGAACTTCGTGCGCTCCATGCTCGTGGGCAAGTCAACGCAGGAATTGATGTCCGCATGGTGAGTTGACTGTTATGACTGCTATGTGCCATAACCACTGCGGTTCAGAGCTTTCTACTTATATCATGTATTTGTATCTGATGTCAACCCCCCTGCATAGCATACTTTTCGATCAGCCATGACCGACCATTTCACTATTGCCTCCAACCAGCAAAGTCAAATCCTGGTTGTTTCTTAGTTACGATAACTTCGTAGTTAGAAGATGCATAAAGTGCACAACCGAAAAAGATACGCTCATTATCCTGCTTAAAAGTTGATGTCGCTGCGACTTAAAGCTCTTGGCTGGGTTGGTAAATGACTGGTTACCTGACATTCGTTTAATCAACTTTGGTTTTACGATTGATTGTATCCTGGAACCTTCAGTGTTACTACGGTCATGCCCGAAGTTCGGCTCGAAGACTGCCCCTGGTTTGGTTGTATCACTTGGCCTTTGTGTACCGCCGGCTTACCTCGTTCGGTCGTCCCTGCTTGCAGTTGCAGATTAGCTGAAACTTCCAGCTACTTACTAAACCTTCAGTAGTTAGTTGAATCACTCTAATTCTAAGTTATCCCCCCTTGCGCAACATGACAACAGATCAGCTCTAATGCTTCCCCCGGCTTAACCATGTGCTGCCCATCGAAAGAGTGCCATGGGTGTACAATTACTTTGATTTTTCTTTGCTTGCTGTTTGTCAGTTTGATTTTTATCCAACTGCTTGCAGTCAACCGTCCATCGCCTCAACCCAAAAGACTTGATTAAGTCTGACGTTTGTTGGTGTAGACCAAGAAAGATATATACGCGCCGCAGTGTGCATGCTGGCCTAATTCTGCGCCAGAAAACGTTAGGGTAGTGTTCCTACGGTAATCACCGAGCAACTTTTTTCTACGCTGAAGTTCAGGAGTCTTTGGGTGGAATGCAAAGCAATTAACTTTACCCCGACTTCTGGTGTTCTCGAGCGAGGTACTTGCTTTTTCATACATTTTTTCACATAGTTTCAGATTTTATCATGAAACTTTGAGAAGGCTCCATATTTCATCAAATTTCTCACAGTACTTCAGACCAAGATACAGACTATGATTATCTCCATGAGAAGACTTTTTCAGCAGTTCCTCTGACAGGCCCCCAAGTGCTTTACCCATCTGCTGAACACTATTGTCAAGAAGATTCCTGATAATAACCCCAGAATGCCCAAACCTATTGAGTACCTCCTCCATCAATGGGGAGGCCGGCAAGCATCCAAGCCAGTCAATCACTCAATTCAGCAAAAGCTTGTGAGTGTTCAAGCACGCAACGGAAGCACGACGGACTATGATAAGTGTTGGGGTATTTCGTAGAAGCACGGTCGGTATTGATGGGCATTCACTAAATGCCTATCAGGCAGCCTGGATCAGTGTCGAAAACAGCTCGAGACCGTTGTAACTTTTGCACCTGCTTGTTTGCAATGAAACTTGTGTTCTTTGTTGGCGGGTCTTTTTCCGGCACGAAGGCAGTGGAGTAGGGGCAACAGTTAGGTATAACGTATGCCCATCGATCATTTAATCTGCACTACAAGCGCTGTTCATTATCTGCTTTGCTTATTTTAGGGTGCTGTGGCAGATATTCTTTCCCAGGATGTCATGCAACCGGTTCTAGTTAGTCACTCGGTCGTGTCGCTGGCAGCGGAAACTGTCCGTAGCATTTTGAAGATTGACGACGTGGTAAGCAGCCATTGTTTTTACTGGCCATCTACGCTGCAGTGTTTCTGTATCATAACTTACCACTCCAGTAAATATTCCATTCTCATTGTTTGATCTGTTTTAGTGAGTCCTGCAATCAGGTATCTCTCCTATCATACAACCCTTCGTTTGGGAACCGATTTGTCTCGCCGGGCTAGCTTCAAAGTACTGAAAGTTTAGTAGTTCACTGAACGGTCCGATACCGCGATCTCGCAGTAGATGACAACACCCTTTTAGTGTTTTGCAGAAGAAACATCTTGAATGTCATAAAAGCTGCAGCCCTGTGGTTCCTAAGTTTTGTCGGGAACCCACAGTGATTTTGAATGGGTAGTAGTATCTTTGTTTGCCTCAATCCTGACAGTGGTGAAAACGCGTTACTCCTCACAAAAAGCTTTCATGTCCATCCTACAGCTTCATGAAACACGTCTGGTCTTGCTAGAAACACTTGCTTCAATGAGAGCTGGATACCTTTAGACTTTCAATTCATTGTCACATACGCCTATAGGACGTTCGCGGGTTTCCGCTGTCCCAGCCACCTACGACTATGTTCGCTACCTTTTCCAAACGATATCGGGTTTCCAAAGTACGACCCACTGAAACCATTAATTCGTCCTCGTGAAACACGTGATCCATCGAACTAGAAATCTGCCCGCGAGTAGTTTGCTCCTCTACGAAAACAATATCTACATAACCTAGAATCAGCGCAGAGAGACGGCGATAGAATGGATCTTGCAATGATTGATGCAGTACGAAGACCGAGTATAAGAGGCAGGCTAAATGACTGACCAGTGGGCTAAAAAGTCCATCGACTGAACGCTTAAATCCTTTTCTTTGTCATTGTTTGTATTTCTGCTACTGTGCCAATATACTCAGATGACAAGTGCTCTATATGTTGAGGCTTAGTTACCCCACTCCACAATATCTATAAAAGTGGACAGGGATGCGACCACAGTCGTTCCGAAGTCCTCCCACCATCAATTTAGATCAGAAACTAGCAACACGAACGATCAACAGCCATATGTTTCAGTGTTTCGGACTATGCACTGGGAGGATCACACGGGGCCTATCCTGGAAGGCCAATTGCACCGACAGTACCCAGGCTTTTCGTGATCTGTTTGATGTCCCTCTGTCAGGTCAGAGGTTGACTACCTCTCTGTTGCTGCAACTCCCATTCGGGCAAGGGAAACAACACTCTCTTCGAAAAACCATGGTTCGCCGTGCGTAATACATAGCCTAACCATCGCAACTTTAAGTGCTGGACACATTCTTCAATTAAAGTCCGCGTGAAACAACTGAACTTTCGTTTTCTCCGCGGATTCGCTGGCACCAGACTACATGAGCTGTGGTCCTAAGACAACGGTTGTCAACATGAGCTGTGTCCTAAGACAACGGTTGTCAAAGGCCTGATGATGTCTGGATTCGGCCGCCCGCATAGCCCTCATCTCAACACCGTATCCCAGCTCAGGGATATGCCACTTCGCCACCATTTTTGTCTCAAATTAGCAAACCCGACCCTGGTCTTGGAGATTCGTGCACTGACTGTCCCAACAATTTCTAAAATACGTAAAGCACTCCACAACTTAGAGTACGACTGCTTGGTCTTTAAATAGCATGTTCAGTGACTGCATATCAAGAATAATGACCTTACGCTTTGTGAGTGCGAAGCGTCTGTTAGAGGATTTTGATCCGTTCATCTTGGTCTTCTTCCCTTCCTCGAGGACAAACTCGATGTCGTCTGCATATTCCACATCAAGGTTTTCGTTGACTGAACACCTTTCTGAAAACCTCCCAACGTTCGCCTTACTATCCCGTTGATCACGAAATTTAATACGAATGGATAGGGTAGACATCCTTGTCGACCACAGCTTTGCGTGCGGAAGCTCTTGAAGAGCTCATATACTGCGTTCGCCTTATTATCTCGTCGATCACGAAATTTAATACGAATGGATAGAGTAGACATCCTTGTCGACCACAGCTTTGTGTGCGGAAGCTCTTGAAGAGCTCATATACTTTCAGACGCCTGAAAGTCTGTGAATACAAAGAACGTATTATGTCCAAACTTCCGAGGCATTCCTTAATGGGCAAACGTGTCAAGGAGGACAGACCGGTGCTGACAAACGTCTTGCTAAGCAAGTATGTTAGGTCAGCTGTGTCAAACGCCCCTTGGAAATCCAGGAATACTAAAATTGTGGGCTGTTTGTGTGTGGGGTGGTTCTAGCACCCGAGTGTGGTGATTATTCTGGTCAGTTTAATCCCTACCAGACTGGGGTATTATATATATATATATATATACGTAAGACTACCAGGCTGGAGTCCCACCTGCTGTCGAGCTCCACAGGTCATCGTAAGGCGATGGGTGACGCATGAGTTTCAGTATTACCAGTCAAGTTGATCCCTCTGTATTTACCACCATGAGCTCCTTTTCTAAAAATGGACACTACAACCGATTCCTCTTGGTTGTCTGGGACAGTCTCCTTGTTCCAGATAGATACAAATAAATCAGACAGGTCAGGTCACAGGTAAATACTTCAGAATGTTGGTCCGAAATAACTTACAAGTTCCTATGTGTAATCGAGGGCCCATCCCAAAAGAGTTGGCATTCGTCCATAGCGTTCATTGAATGGCACCTTGTGGTTTTTCCTAAAAGACCTTGCCAGGCTAAAACCTTCGTTGAGGCCAGTGTTATTTTGTGTTGATTGGTGGAGGTAATGCGTCTGATACGAGAGCAGGTCGTCCGAGAAATTTTGACTTAGTCAACATACACTCCAGAAAACCTGGCTTTCGTTTTCCTTTCCATAGCGAACTTGTGTGATACCGCCACTATGAAGCTAGTTGAAGTAGAATCGCCCAATGGACACTGAGCGTGGGATACTCTAGGGACTTCCGCGAAATTGAAGCTAGTGCTGCACCACCCCTCCCGTGATCTTAAAACCAGTCCACCTCGTCTTCTGTTTCACTTGACCTTGAACTGTCTGTTTGGTTGTCCCCAGATGGTGAGGTGGCAAACCCAACTTAATAGACCACCGTCGACAGCCTGATAAGTCGCCACTGTCTGCTTCGTGCTTACTGTTCTTCTAACTTTGAACCTAAGGCTTCTACACGCAGGTCTTGTGTACCTTTTCGTACCCTCTATGAAATAATTGTCAGTCTTATGCATCTAATGTGAGTTGTTTCTTTCTCTTTTCAGATCAACGCCGTCAAAGCTTGAGGTTTGAACACCCCGTTTGGCACTGCCGTTGTTAATTCACTAAATCGAAAATAAGCTTTGAATGATACCGTGTTTTTTCCTTACGGAGGGGGGGCTTAGTAATAAGGTAACCCATCGAAGTCAATCCTGATGAGCTGTTGCCTTCACGGTGAGGACACCCGCACGCTCAGTTTCCTACCTCCTTGTGCATCTTACAGCCGAAACATTGCTCGAAGTCGAACCTATCTATGCGCTGTCATTTCATCCATTATCTTATAGTTTGATCATCGTAAGGAGTCCTTATTTTGGACCAAAAGTTATCGGTCCCGTACCTGGGTTGCCCATCCGATGTTCATAAGTGAATGCTCTCAACACGGGGTAAACTGTCCACCTGGGTTCCACCTTTCGTCAGTTGTTTGACTGTAGAGTGAAAACCAATTGATCAACCTCTGTGGATTACAAATGCCTGGACCAATGCTCCAGTCCGAATACATTAATAAATGTGCCTTCGTAGTTCAACATATCTTTTTAAATCGATTAAAATCGCAGATAGTTGTTGGGAGAATGGCAATAGTTACAGAGTGGTACCCGAGTTTTAGAGCGGGGAATCGATCGAACAACAAGTTCCGCACGATGAGGACTTACACGAAGTGCAGTCATCGCACTTTCTATGGTACACTAACCTGTCTCTTATCAAATATATCCATCACTTCGCACCAGAAAGGAAAACATAAGTTAACGATTAGTGAATTTTTTTGTCTTCGAGAAGTGCCAAGTGAATGTGTTTGATTGGCGAGACGAAACGAATTGGGAGGACCACAGCGTAATACCCGTAGTATGCATGAAGCATATTGTTATTCCTACATCCCTAATTGTTGGGCCACCGGATACGTTTTCCTTTTTTGCCTGGGTAGCTTCATCAGTTGTCAGATCATTTCTCAGATAGTGGGTTCACTTGACCACCCACTGTTGAAATGATATTCACTACCACGCATGTCGGCTCAGCCACGATTTTCAGACCTCAGATTTCCTAATAACCAACACCAAAGCCACAGAGGTGAGACTTGCTCAATGTCAGCAATGCAAGCCTTGGCCGATACGTAAGGCTGAACGGTCGTTCCCCGTGATTTACTGTTCTAGTAAGGTCACAAAAATCGTCTACCGGTATCTACGGCTGTCACAAAATCCCTTCCCTCATCGTGGTGCGGTGGTCTAGGCCATGGTGGGGCTTGATAACATGGGTCAACGGGGTCAGCGCGTGGTGGATTCTCGGCTGGCCACCGGGTTTCCTACAAAATACTACAGACCCCGGTGGCGGCATCACAGTTCAGCTAGTGTTATTTCGCCATAAAGGGGTTTCACGTACCAGGGGTAGAACATGGTCTCCTGGTCAGTTCTTAGCACTACAGAATTGGTATACAAACCGAGTGTCAGCCACCGGCAAAAATTGAACCCTGCCGTCTTGCGGATCGCACTTAAATGTGCAAGAGAACTCGAACAAACGCCAGCTCTGACGGACTGATGAGATCCATCCATGCCCCGGCGGCCTTTCCGAGGGTTCTCCGCACATCGTGAAGTCTGCACTTGGTTGCCCGTCGGAAACGAACCCTGTGGCGCTTGGGACGTCACTAATACACAAACCCTATGTTACTCAATGAATATGTCGTGCATGTGGAGTTTCGTTCGTGTTACGGAGTCCCCTGTAGGCGACACTCACTCAGTAGTCTTGATGTGTGCAAGCCAGGCCTTCTTTCCCCCAAGAAATCTGGAACGCACTGCAGATAGCCTGCCGGAGTGTTTGCAAGCTGCTTAGCGTGAAAAGTTAGTCTCGCCGTACCAAGCTTCCTTAATCGACTAGCTGATATTGCATGCCTTTCAGGGGCGCCGATTTCTGGTATCGATTCACAAAACAGCAAACTATCAGGAATGGGGGTCTACTGACCGCACTGTAGTGACCTAAACGGCAAATTGGATCTGCATGATGCTGATGTTACCATAGGTAAGAGCACTCACGACGCCCTAGTCTTTTGGGAGCGAATATCCTCCAGGATTGTGGTGGCTTAGCTAAAAGGCTCTCCATTGAACCCAACCGCTCCCACCTCATGGGATATGCGTCAAAGATGATGAGCTAAAAAGATTGGGCAACCGCAAAGTCGTCATGAGTGTTGACAACTAAAACGCAAAAACTGTCGCTTTAACCCTCTCCAAGCGTCACGTCCTTAGGAAGGTTCGGCTTAGGACAACGCTACGTAAACGACAATCATTTGGTCAACTTTTCCACCCTCAATGGATTCATGGTATCCAACATGTTTACAACGCCTCATCTGGTGTTTCATTGGCGGTTGCTTGGCTTCCTAATTAGGCTACATCTTTTTAGCAGCCCGATCGGCATCGACTGTTGAACACTCTAGGTCTTGGTGGAAACGGAATAAATGTGATCCAGACCTTACCATCATGCACCCGGCGCGCGATAGCTCAGTGGTTAGGATGCGAAATTGCTACCTGGTCGGTGGTACGAATCCAACTTCGACTTCTCGACTGCTGCTGTCCAGGCCTCGACAACCATTCCATTCAGGTGGCATAGCAGCTATGAACCGAACAGTTATTATTATTGTTGTTAGTAGTGTGAGGAAATTTGGGAATCTTAACGCAGATTTCATCCTGTAAGTGAAGCCAATCAATGCTGAAAAAGCCGAGGGGCACCGGACAACTGTTCCGTCCTTACTGAGTCATCAGCAGTGTGCAGGGAGTTTCGAACTCGCTACCTGCGGTTAGTGGTTTGAACAACTCACCGTTCGGCCACGAGTGGCTGATCAACATTGTAGGTGCAGCACCGCTCATCTTTTAAATACGGGATCCACATCACTTAGTCACAAGTGTTAACTGGCTCCTCGAGGAACGCCCCCCCAGATGGGCTCACTCGGATGAATTTTATCTTCCTCTGAGCTACTTATAGATTGTTGGTAGTGTGAGGCTTTTGGAATTTTTAATGGAGATCTTGCCTTGTAAGGAAAGCCACTCTATGCTGAAAAGCAGTTTTCTCGTTCTTGCTGGGAATCACCAGCAGTGTGCACTGTTTCTCGGCTATTCAACATAAACTGACTTCACTTGTAGGCCCGACGAAGTTCTCAGTTCCTCTGGTCCACCATTCACTCCAGCTCACGCGAGCTGTTTATTATTACTACTATTATTATCATTACTCAGCAAAACTCAACACCTGTGGGGTTCCCCTATATTCCACTGTTCTTCCAATGACACCAAGGTAGTTGAGTTTGCCAGAGCCTCCTAAAAACTTGCCAAATTGCCAAGCATCTCTGGCTTCTTACACTGAACCTCATAGATTATCCATTTGGCGTTGTTTTCTCAATGTGATGTAAACCAAAGTATGATCGCTGCCTTGTTACTTTGGCTGGGAGAACATGTTCGAAGTCGGTTTACTTAGTTAACAAGATATGCGTGTCTGCTTCCGAAATGGGTTCATGTGGCAATCGCGCTCCTTCTAAGAGTAAATCGTGTAGCAATTATGGTCAGCTTGAGTGATCCAATTCCGAAGGATCACCTTCCTAGTTTGTGGAGCCTGAGTGGCTCCAGCGCTGGAATCTTCTTGTTGATAAAAATTGTCACTCATGCGTATCAACTGTGTACTAAACTCGCTCTTTTCCTCTTCAGGATGATAAACTATGAATGCAAAAAAACGCATAAACTCCCTTTTTGCGATTCTCAATCGAATTATCAATATTTTTCACTGATGGCTTATTAACGGTCTTTGAAGTAGTGAACTGAAGACTGAAGTTCCAAGTTTGTAGGTTGTCCTTTGATCACTAAAAGGTGTTCGACCCCAGGTCAACAATTTTCCTTTCCCATCGGCCTTGTCTCGCCCAAAGCTTCAGTGTCTACGACGTACGTTTTTAGTCCCTTGTCAAAAGATGCCATCAATAGTTCGGTTTCACCTCTCTCCTCTTTATCCAGTAAGGTGGTGACATTAAAAGTCCGCTGCTGTTCGGTACATAAGTTACTTTTGTGTCTAACTAAGGTTTCGAGGATGGGCTCTTTTCCCGAGCTACCGTCTGCGGCTGAGTTGGCTTCAATTACACCGAAGCTTCAACATCATGGTCAGTCCCGAAAGAAAATGGCTGGTAAGGTTTCTTTGAGGGAAACCTTTAGAAGCGAACAACCTGGTGGTCCGATCCGTAGCTAAGGGACACTGGAACCTAAGGCTTTTGGAATTAGGCAATAATATCTCAATCATAGTATTGCTGAGCAATGTCAGGCGCCTTTTTAGCCACGCCCGGCTATTGGCTTCCTGAGGTGTTTATACTGCATTGGTTGGTCACGATCAGTTGCCGACTTCTCCTAAGACGTTACTATGAAAATGGTCACCTGGGGGGCACGCCGTTTACTTGTCTGTCCACTGGGGGGACAAGTGAGGGGATTTGGCACATTCAACAAAAATGGCTTTAGTTGAGTCGAATCGCTATTAGGCGACAATAGGAGGGAAATTTTCTAAATGTCATAGCATCAAATACTAACAAGTGCCAGTATATGGGAACTACCTTATGTAATTCGAGACATATTCACGAACAAACATACAATAAGGGAAGTTTTGAAAGATGGCTTTGTTTTTCAAACAGAAGAATGGGTATTCTTTCGTGAGTAAACTCCTGATTGGAGTGAACGCCTTCTGTTTTCCCTCGCATAAAAGCGAAAAGAACCATAAATTCATCTGCTAATTAGGTCCACAATGTCTCAGTATCTAAACCAGAGGAAACAGGACACACCTGATACTCTTTCACAATGAAAGTTATGCAGCCATTACAATATCGTTCCCACATAACACCAGTCAGGCGAAGTTCTCTGCTTCGAGAGCCTGTTGTAGTTGATCTCTCACCCTTTACAAGGTGTCATATGCCTTGCTTATATTCAGTTTTGTTCCTTTCCCTTTAAACGTTCCGTTATAAAGCATTGGTTAGCCCGTCTTCGGATGATCTCATCAGGATCCTCATCGATCAGCTGGTCTGAAAGTCACTCCCTCTCTGAATAGTGGATACAGCAAAGCCGCTTTCAAACTTAGTTTCATTATGGAATATCTAT